CATTGTGGACGCTGGACGTTGGATGCAACTCTATGTCTGGATGCCGTGGTACCGAGCGGCTCGATACTGAGCAACACCGAGCTACGGTACAATAAAAGAGTGACGTAGTGTATTATGATTGGTCTCCGGATGACTTTCAATGTTCACACAGCATAATTTTTAATAAAATTCATATTCTTAGATGATTAGGGTTGAGGTTACTATTTTTTTTTTTTTTTACCAGTATAATAGTCTAGAGGAAGCTACTCCTAGAATTCAAAGTGGATTAATAGATGTCTAAGATTTGAGAATCATACCTTCCAATGGAAAGTGTAAATGTTCATAATGTAAGTGGTCATGAGATTTTATTGAAATAACTGTAATATTTTATATGTTGTGCGTTTGATTTGAGATATTGTAATAAATAAATAACATTTTGAATGCTCTTTTCATCATTAGACTTGTGAGGCAATAACTGAGAATGGAAGTAGGCATGCTTGAAACATTAGCTTAAGGTAGGTTCATTATATATTCAGTAGGCTTTGAGATTTGTTTGAGATAGTTTTTTTATTCTTTTATTTTTTCGATAACAATCATAATTTTATTTTATCATTGTTTTCATATTACTTTCTTATTGTTTTTAAAAAATTTCTAGGATGGTAAGTTGTTTTCTTATATGCTAATTTAAATTAGAGCTAGGAATGAAAGGGTGGACTAGATTAAATATATTATATGTTTAAATATTAATATATTGACTTAATGTGAATTGAACACACATGTGAATGTGCGACTTCCTTAAATGCATGTGTATGATGATGATCGACAATATCACAACCTCTTTGGCAAAGGCAAGATTTCCTTGTTACTTTCTCATTACTTTTAATAATGTTTGTGGTTGAATGCTGCTTTCTGCAACCATAGTAGCAAATCTGTTTTTTCCATAACAGTTTCATAACTAACTTTATAAAATATTGTAGTCATCATAAATAGTTCCTTATGATTGTTCTGCTTTTTAGATAGTGACCATAATTTTATTTGGCTTCTGCTTTATCACAACTTTTCCAAAAATTTGAAATTTATTTTATATAATCAAAGTAGCAAAGTTGTTTTCTTCATACCAACATCATAAAATATTAATTGCAGCAATCTCAAATAATAAATCCTTTTTTTAAAGATGCATTAAAAAGAAGTTTCCTATCACAAAACAAAATTTAAAAGCAATGGCCAAACAGAAGCTATGATTTTGATGTGAAAAGCAAAGCAGTAAGAAATTTGTCCCAAAACTTACCTGGGTTTAACTTTTAATTTTTAGTTTTTATATTAATTTTTGTTATTTACAGTTAAATATAAAAAAGTAGTTTTCTAAATTTCAAATATAATATATTTATATTTTGGCGCACATCACCAAAAAATCTTTCTAATCAAGCTAAAAAATTAATGCATTATTTGAATTTGAAACTTTCATAATTAAATTTAGAATCATATAAATTGCAATTTTAGCAAATTTATAGTGAAACTAAGTGTCTCGATGAGGTGAACTCATTAACATCAAAAGTGATCTTATCAGACTTTGAATGAGACAAAATCAAGCAATCAAAGCATAATTGATAAATTCAGATCGACCATTAATTGAATGATTAAACACCATAAAAAAATCCGGCACTAATAGTCAAATGAATGCCTCGTCGAAAGGAATTCAACAAGCTCAATATCATTCAATTTCGTGGTCATTATAATATATTTATAGCTGAATGAATATTTTTTTATCAAAGAAATCAGCACTAGTTGTTTGATAAAGTGTTTTAGCTTTTAAATTAAAATTATCAAAGTGTCAAACTTTCAAAAAGTTATAAATACGATATCATTGTTTACATGAAATGGGGGCTTGAACTTGGAGCTTAACATACATTTGGGAGTTATGAAAAGCTCTTGGCGATTAACATTGATGACCATCACCAACAACTATTATCACCCCACCATCATCCAACTTTCATCCTCTAACCATAATCACCCGAGTAATATATCTTGATCACTATCACTTGATCACTAAGATCATCAGACAATTATTGCTTGACTACAATCTTTTTGAACGCTGTTGTTTGACTACAGCTCCCAACCATCATCGACTAACTATTTTCTCTCGTTAATTTTATCTCCATTAATGCTAATGCATATTATCATATATAAACCTAATGCACATCGTTCACATTAATATTGATGCCTACTAATTTCATCCTTTATCATCGCTAACAATGTTGACGCACATCATCGCCTATAAAGCTGATGCATATTGTCAATACTCGCCAAAGTTGATACAATTTATTGACATAAAGAGAAAAAAAACCTACCAACTTTATCACCTATCATTATTCACAACATTGATGCATATTATAACTAACAAGACTAATACACGTCATCAACATCAACACCAATTCCTAAAATCAACATTAAGATTATACTAGCTTTCATTGTCTATAGTCCCCTCATCTCAATGGAGAACGATTCAACATAAAACTAGCAATCTATTTAAAAAGGGCATCTTTTGTACCCATTATAATATATATACAATTTATACCCATTATTATTACTTCCTGCTATATGGGAGCTCGCTCCCTGTGAAGGTAACTATCTTTCTCCCTTTTGCGCGGTTTTTCAGTCAAATCTCTTAATTGCCACCTCTTGATATCAAACTAGTTCCAAATATTTGTAAGGGATGTTTGGATGCACCAAATATTTAATACAAGCAGGATTTCGTAAATCCTCTAAATTCGGATTTATTAAATTTTACGGGTGTTAAATCTTGAAAATTGTTGGTAACATTCAAGATAAATCTTGATAAATTTAGTGTGACTATTTGGCAATTCAATTCAGGATTTAAGGTGATTAACACATTTGAAATTTATTTCATAGATGATTAAAGTACAATAACAAAAGTTCAAATAAAATACATCAAAATTTTGAATATACTAATTAATATTTTAATACTAATTAATTATTTAATTATTATTAGGGGTGTCAATATTGGACTCGACCCAAACCCGAAACGGGACGGGTTTGGGTCCAGAAAACCGACCGGTTTGCAAAATCGGGTCGAGTTTGGGTTGACCTGGAAAATCGGAAATGACTCGGAATGACCTGAACAGCAACGAGCGAACACCCATTGCTGCTTCGGATCAAAATGTTGTAATTTCCGATCCTATGGGAGGGAAAATCGTCAAAGGAGTGATGTCGAACAACCACGAAGGAGCCGAATAACAACGACCAACGAGCAAAGTCAAACAACAACGAAGCCGCACAGCAACGAACGAACTCCCGTTGTTGCTTTCGATCAAAATGTTGTAACTTCCGATCCGATGGGAAGGGAAAATCGGCAAAGGAGCGATGTCGAATAGCCACGAAGGAGCCGAACAACAACGAGTGAAGTCGAACGTCAACGAAGTCGAACAACAACGAGCGTACTCCCGTCGTTGCTTCCGATCAAAATGTTGTAACTTTCGTTCCGATAAGAAGGGAAAATCGTCAAAGGAGTGATGTCGATCAGCCACCAAGGAGCTGAAGAAGAGATGCATGGAATCTCTAGTTCTCTACACCTCTTGCGAAGCAACGAAGCCCAACATCAACGGCGAAAAGAGAATATGAAAGGCACTATTCGGGTCGGGTCGGGTTGACCCGAGCTCGAAGCGGGTTGGGTTCGGATCGAGAAAATCGACCCGTTTGCAAAAACGGGTTAGGTTGACCCAAACCCGAATAGTGTCAGGTTAGTTTCAGGTTCGACCCAAACCTGACCTGTGACCCGAAATTGACACCCCTAATTATAATTTATAATGTTATATAATCATTTATATTTGAAATTATATTTAATCTACTAATTATTTTGAAATAACTAAGTATTTAACTAATAATTTAAGTATTATTTAATTAGTTTTACATAATTATTAATATTTTTAATTATATTAATTAAGTTAACCAACAATAACATCGTCTAGGGTTTGCTTTTCCCTTTTGTATTTCGTCGTTGCTGTTCGGCTCCATTCCTTCGCATGAGGTGTAGAGTTTTGCACGAGTCCGTTCTTCGGCTCCTTCGTCGCTGTTCGACTTCTGGATCGTAAGTTACGACATTTTGATCGGAAGCAACGACAGGAGCTCGCTCGCTGTGCAGGTAACTTTCTCCCTTTTGCGCGCTTCTTCGGCCAAATCCCGTAAATCCGCCGAACGGAAGGATTTTTTCGGTTATTACTCTATTTTCCCATCTAAGAGTCGTTTAAAGCAGCCAATTTTTGTTTTTTTGGGTGTTAACGCACCCTGTTAGATGATCTCCAACCGAAAAACTCATTTTCCACTCCAAAATACAGTAATATTTCAAAATGCAGTAATTCATCTCCAACCGAACTCTATTTCTTGGTGAATATTCTATCTCAACCACAAGCTCTAGCCTTTATCTCCTCCACTGTCTCAAAAATGCCTTTGTGAACAGTGTTACGCCAATTCAAGAGTGAGAGAATTGCACCCTTTCTCCGTTCGATTGGAGAAGTTCGCCGACGCATGGAGTTCGGTTGGAGATGTAGCATGCTAAAAATTAATGAGAATATGTTTAAAATGCGAAATTTACTTAAAAAATCCAAAAATATATGTGAGAAAGTTTTAATTTCCTTAAATCTCTCATGTATCAAAACTTTTAATCAGAATTAAAACAAAAAAAGTTTTTTTTTATCTTATAATTACATTGAAATTAAATATACATTAGAAAACAAAACAACATCCAAAATTAAAAAAAAAACTTAAAGAATAAGTTTCTTTTATTGAAAAAATAATTGAAAAAAATAAAAAGAATTCAGATAACAGATGATAAGAAATGAAAAAGAGTGAAAAAAAAAAAGAAATAAAGGTGATATTCAGAGGAATTTTTATGTTCAAATAGCTTTACTTGTCATTCCAGTTCCAGAATGATCACATGGGTATATATAAGTTACATGGAGATTTCTAGATGCAAATAGAGCTCTAGATAAGATTCTAGGAAAAATCACATTAGGATCACTATTCAAAATTGGGATTAACTTTTACTATTCGCATGATTCTTTGTATATTTTATACCTGCATGATCTATTCCTTGTATTGATTTTTCTGTGACAAAACTGTTTTTCTTTGATCTGGATTCAAGAATTCAATTTTTTTACTTTACTCATCAGTAGGGTGAGGATGCTCAATGGTGAAGCTCACGTAAACTTTCAGATCATGGTTATGTCTTGGTAATGAAATTATTATTATTTTTATTGTTGATACTTATTTACTATAGTTTTATAGAAAACTTCTAGAAATGATAATTGGAAATAGATTAAAATAATTTAAGTTTGACATGTTGTAACAAATAAATACCATTTTTGATATCTTTTGTGCAAATTACATGCATCTCTGTATTCGTTATAAAATCTTCTTGCATGTCTAATTTCTAGGGGTATCGTCAAACTCTTAGATCATTTAAATTATAAATTTATAATGTGAACTGAAAAAAAGGTTTGGAGCTGAGATAGAGAAGTGATACTTCCTGGATGATGACTAGTGGGGCTGTGGATCGTGAGAAGGAAAAGAAGGTGGTGTTTGTAACGGTTGGGACTACTTGCTTTGATGCTCTTGTCAAGTCTGTGGACTCTCGGCATGTGAGGAATGAACTAAAGAAGAGGGGTTATACCAATCTTCTTATACAAATGGGGCGTGGATCTTACATCCCAAGAAAGGTTCTTTACTTCTTCCTCCCAATAGGCCACTGTTTTTTCTTGTATTTTGCTGATGAAGAGTTCCATTAGAAGGAAAATAGTAACACATCGGATAAATTGTATTGATCAATTGATAGACAATAAATAGGGCACCAAAAAACGATCAAAACTTGGTAGAAATGAGAATTTTATAAGGAATTTATAATAACATTAGGAAGGATAACATGAGATTTGATTTAGTGATGGGGTTGTACCTAATAAAGATCATATGTAGAATTAGATGATTTGTGCATGCATAGTAAATGACAAAAAAATGCACCACATTTGATGGAGATGCTATTATTATGGAAGAATTGAAGGTAAAAGGTTGCATGGGTCCCTGGCTAGAGTTTTTGTTAGAAAAAATCTATGTAAATTAGAGTTCATACCACTTTCAAATCCTCACATGAAAAAATGGCAAGAACAACTGGGACTTCTGTACCCAAATTGTTTTGGTAAGGTTCATGATAATGATTCTTCTATGATGGTAATTGATTATTTGTTGCTTCATTCGATTTTTTATCATAGCTTAATATCAATCCCTCAAGAAATCCATCGCAAAACATATAAAATAAAATATAAATAGCAACAACAGAGAATCTAAAGATTTTTGTCTTCCAGGCCTGTGGGCATGTCTTCACTCTAGATGGTTAATTTAATTCTTTCTGCTGAGAGAGCTGTGCTTTCTATAGAAAAGAGTTATTGAAGTATCCATACATATTGTAATTTGCTACTATGCCGCACCCATTTCTTTGATTTGCTATATTCTCTCTTCGTTATCCTTCTTTGTCAATGATGTTTCAGAAAGCATTTTAAGCTTCTAATTCTGTTTGAAAAATCAAGCTATAGATTAGTATTACCTACTTTGACAAACTTCATATTGTTTACTAAAAATACATAACCATTATGTTTGTTTTCCTTTCGCTCCAGTAGAGTAATTGTGCTCTTTAATACTATCATACAGTCTACAATGCAGTCTTGTGGAGAAGATGAGTCTCTTGTTGTGGATTATTTTACTTTCTCACCCAGTATTGCTGATTATATGAGGTCTGCATCCCTTATTATCAGCCATGCAGGTACATGATTACATGGCTAACGTTGTAGATTGTACCCTTTCCTGTTTCTAGATCTGCGTTATAATTTAGCCTTATTGACTGTCTGAGTTGTTTCAGTGCTCTTTTATTGTCTCTTTAAGGTGCTATTGATTCCCTATTTAGTCTCTTCTGAATTTGAGATTTCACGTTACTATGAACGATATTGATAATTTTACAATTGCACGCTGACATGATTCAAGTCAAATACTTTTTGCTCTTTTCCCTTGTTGGATTTGTAAACATATGGGGATAGGATGAGTGACATCGGATGGCTCATATTAATTCCCTCGATTATAGAGATTTTTTCAACTGTTTAATTGCTTTAATGATGTGCAATTAATGATGCCGGAATTCAGCGATCTTGGTCTCTTTGGATTCGTCTCGCTGAGCCGCTAGATTTGGCTATAAGCATGACATATTTGAATATCATTTTGTCATCCAAATAATGCTTTGTTCCTTCCAAATGTGGTTCGGTTCCCCAATTTGGACCCATTTGGGCTCGGGTTAGACTAATTTTGGTGTCGTTAGGTTCGTCTCTTTGAGACGTTCAGTTTGACTATAAGTTTGCTTAAATTAGAATTCATATGATTCTGAATTTACGTGAATGAACTTCAAACAAAACGGAAAGATCCAAACTTATGCACATCTTTGGTTGCACAAGCACCCTAAGCGAAGCTCATATTAAGGGATCAGCACACATCTCACGAACAAACAATAAGTTTGTATCATGTGAATGAAAACTTTCTTGATGAGACTAAGGCTTCGTTTGGGACAACTTTCTTTCTGCTTCTTAAAGCAGCTTTATAGTATAAAAATTTAATTTTTGTACTAAAAAGCTGCTTTAAGAAGCAGTAAGAAGTCCATCTCAAAGTAAGCATGCTTCTTAAAGCATCTTTCTAGTATTTTTTGTAATAAATTTTTATTCATTTCTCTTCGTTACATGGTTCATCGTTATGAGATCGGTTATCAGGCATCAACAATTCGAGCTTGACAATGCTGGTTTACAATGCAGGATCTGGAAGCATATTTGAGACCCTGCGATTGAGAAAGCCATTGATTGTAGTTGTGAATGAGGATCTCATGGACAACCATCAGAGTGAACTGGCAGAAGAGCTTGCAGAGAGGAAACATCTATTCTGTGCCAGTCCTCAAACACTAGGTCAGACCATTCAAACCATGGATTTGGATTCACTTCTTCCTTTTCAATCTGGAGATGGCTTGCCTGTTGCAAAGCTAATAAATAAGTTCCTTGGTTTCCCTGCTGAATGATTCATCCAATAATTCCTTGAACATGTATTTTTGTAAATCACTTTCTTTCTGAAATAATGCAATGACCTGCAGGCTGGTTATTATTAACTTTTTTTTTTGGGTTATTGAAATGCTTTAGTAGATGGTTTACCCCCTTACTATTCTTTGGATTCATCAGGTAACTTAAGTTCCAGTGAGATTGGGTTGACTATGATTAAACCATAGGAGGGCTTAATTGGTCATGACTGAGTATATTAGGTTGACCATGGGTCAATTATGGACCAGTTTAATCTATGGGTGTAAACGAGTTGAGTTTAGGCCTTGTCGAGCTCGTCTCATCAATTGGAAAGCAAGCTCGAACTCGAGCTCGTCCCACTGTAAATGAGCTCGAGGTCGAGTCGATCTCGACAGGCAAGCTCGAACTTGAGCTCGTCCTACTGTAAATAAGCTTGAGTCGGGTTGCGAGACATGGGGGAAATTTTAAAATTTAGGCGGGATTTTTAAAACTTATTCAAAATTTAGAAAAAAAAAAAGAAAGGTTTAACATTTAAATAAAAATTATGTTGTTATTATTATAATTTTTTAAATATTTAAATTTAATAAATAAAATAAAATTATTTAAAAAATATTAATATTTATTCGAGCTGATTTATGAACAGGCTCGGTTCACTTACACCCCTAGTTTAACCCATGAATGAGTTAGTCATATGGAACTAAGAAACCTAGCGCAAGAGTTGGTGGTTCTTAGAGTAATGTCGGGCTAATTCAAGCCATGGAATCGAACTTCCTGCACATTTATAAGCATTGAGGTTTTGTTTGGAACGGCTTTATTATTGCTGTGCAAAGTAGTTTTTTAGTATAAAATTTTTAATTTTTTATTAAAAAGTTACTTTAAGAAGCAGTAAGAAAGCCGTCCCAAACAAAGCATGAGATTGACATTTCCAACATGTCCCAAAAGTTCTAGGATTTGCAGGTATGGAGCTAATACTCAAGATGAGCTAGGCTCTTAGGCCAAAGGCCAACTGGCCAAATTAGGTTTGTTGGGATTTTTTATTTTATCATCATTTTCTATTCTCAAAATAGATAATAGAAATGTGAAATTAATATACACTTAGACTTTGCTTGGGATGACTTTCTTACTACTTTATAAAATAATTTTTTTATAAACTTTTTTTTAACTAAAAATTTTTATAATAAAAAGTTTGATTTCAAAATTATTAAGAAAGATGTCATAAATAAAATCTTAGGCTTCATTTATGATAATTTTTTTTTATTTCTTTCTAAAATATTTTCTTTATATAAAAATTTCATAAATTAGAGACGGGCGGATCCAGCTTCTTTTTTCAGGGTGGGCAAAAGAATTTTTTTTGTGGGGGATGGACAAAGATGCTTAGGATTGATTAAATAAAGGCAAAAAAATTTTTTTGAGAGGGGGCAAATACCCAAAATATTCAAAATATTTCAAAATATCTCACTAAAATTAAAAAAAAAAAATTTTTTTTGAGGGGGGGCATTTGCCCCTCAACTAAATGGGGATCCGCCCATGATTAGAGATGTTTTTGTACTAAAAAGTTTTGGAGTTCTCGCTATATGAACTCATAATCGATACTCACCTTCAATCTTAGCACCCAACCCATACTTAGAGTACAAGATACACATTATGATTAGCTATGCAGTCTTTTTTAATTGTAGGGGTGTTAATAAATGATGTGACCGTTCATGTTGAACCGTTTATTAAACGGGTTGAATATAGGTATTAAATGGGCATGTTCTGCTTGACTCACTAACCCGATATCAACTCAAAAATTACTCATTTAATATTTTTTTTTAAAATATTTTTATTTATTGGTATAGTATTCTTATGTTTATTCTATTAACCTAAAATTTATTGTTGAAAAGTTAAAATATTTTTTAAATTAAAATGAGTTATTGGGCATGATTTGGGTTGCAAGCAAGTTTATCTTTTGATCTATTTATTAAATGGGTCATGTTCATATTGATCGTAATCGGGTTGGGTTAATTTAGGATCAGTCCTAAGTTAATCTCGTTAACTCATTTTGATACCCCTAATGAATTATGAAGCCGCTCTTAATAAGTTAATCACAACTTAAATTGCCCTCAATTTCTTAGATGGTTTATTTTTTCTCCATAACATTAGATCCAACGAACATATTTCAACTAAACACACCTAAGCTCACTCTTGTTCATTAACGTGTTATTATACTTTTATATAGATTTTCATATAATCTTAGGCTTTATTTTGGGGAGAAATTATTCTATACGGAGACAGGGCAGTACGGCGTCCAAAGATCAACCAAAATGCTTCACGTCAACGGTACTGAGCCACGGTGCCGAGCTGAGCAATGGTACCGAGCACTAGGATGATGTGACGCATTCTGGTTGGTCTCTGAATGACGTTAGACGTTAACACAAAATAATTAATCTTGTTTGGGACGATTTTCTTAGTACTTCTTAAAATAGTTTTGAGGTTTTTTATTAAAAAAATAATTGTATATAAAAAATATTTTATGAAGTAATAAAAAATTTATTTCAAAGTTTTTTTTTTATTTGAAGTAATTTTTAAATTATTTTTTAAGAATAAAATATTTTTGGGAATAGAAAAAAATTAGTGGCTTAAACTGTACCAGGAAGCCTTAAACAAATCTGGCTTAAATACGGGATATCGAAATCACATGAAACAAAGAAACGTGAGATGAATTTTATTTTCACGCTTTATTCGCGCGTTTTTATGGCATTATTGGACCATGCCGTCACGTCGTGCTGGACATCGGCAACGAAGCTAAGCTGTCATCATTAATTGCTTACGTGGCAAGCACTGGAAACCGCCGTAAGGTGTTCGCGCCACCAACCGCTCTGCCGGTTTTGTCGGCTAATCCAGATGCCGGTCCGTACTGCGGTGAAGCATAGTTATGGTCACCGTCGAGTGGCAGGACCGTAGAGGTTCTCCGCCATGACATCACCATCACGACCGTACGACGCAAGCACGCGTCACTATTGAACGGTCAGGATAACTTCATGCTGACAGTGAGATAATTTAAATATAATAAATGCGGCATTTGTGTGACGGCGACGGTGCGGATAAGGCGATGGTTTTCCACGTGGCGGATGGACAAATGACTGCCGACGGAGAGATCTGTAATTTTATTTTTTTTGTGGTGGGGACGATTTGTAATATCAGTTCATATTTTTAGTTTATTTTTAAGAGAATCATTAGCAGGTTTGGATTCTTTGTGGTCCATTCTTTTGCAAGTTATAAAAAATATTGAGTTTTTTTTTTTCAGATTTTTAATTGGATTAATTTGTAATTTTCAAATTTGAATCAAAGTTTTTAAACTCATTTTCACTCTCATTTTAAATTTTGTTTGAAAGGCACTGATAATTTTGTAAGTTTTAATATTTTTTATCATAGATTTTTAAAAAAAATTTATATCTAAGCTCTAAACAGGATTTCCCAAAAAAAAAAAAAAGCTCTAAACAGGGGCTTTATGTAAATATTTTCAAATTATCTATGAAATTTAGATTTTTTTTGGAGAGTTTTATCACTGTTTTATGTTTGAGGTCGTAACTATAATTTTTATTTGGCTAAAATTTTATCTATGCTTTGATGTGCAAGTGAGTAATTAAATTTGTAGGTTAATAAAATTTTAAAATTATTGCGGGCTAGAAAATTAGTCATGATATGGAGGGATTTTTATGTTTTTGTTAAACATGAAGATCAAGAAGACACAAATAAAAATAAGAATGTAGGAGTCATAGAAGCTCAGTGCACAACCTAATAAAATAATTCATTGTGTACGATAATTTATAGAAGCTCGCTTTTCACTATGATTAGTGAAGATGAAATTACATAATTGGAAGCATTTGCTCTTAATCTCCTATAATTATTGTTAAAATTGTGGGAGAAGTGGAGGATGATGATGCTAGACTGATAATATAAGTTAGAGAAATGATGGTCGGATGATAATAATCAGATTATGCTGAATACAATATAATAGATGGATGTATGATAATGAAATAGTGATAGTCAAATGATGATAGTAGTGATTGATAATGACTGTCAGCATCAAGAATTGAGTAGATTTGCAATCTCAAGTCTAGATCCATTTAATGTTAGAAAATATGAGTTTATTATATATTTTCGAAGATTGACAATTTGAAAAATCAAGCTAAAAATTTATAACACTCCATCAAGCAATTAATATTAAATATTTTGATCATAGATCATTTATTCAACATTCGAGTGTTGTAATGATTTCATAATTGAATCATATTAAACTCATTAGATTCATCCTTTGAGAATCTCAATTTGATTATAAATATGCATGATTTGAAGATTGTTTAGCCCTTCAATTATGATCTCGAAGTTTTTAAATATGATTGTTGCGTCCTGGAGTATTCGCGGCGATAGAGAAAATATACAGTTTAACGTCTTAGCATTATACGAAGATCCAGCACACAATCAAATAAGAGAGAGGGTGTTGCATTTATAAGAGACATCAGAGTTTTTACGTGGAAACCCCTGAAAGGGGGGAAAAACCACCGGGCCTGGCCCAGTTTGAATAAATCCACTAGTATTTGTATTCGATTACAAATGAGGTCCTTCCTTGGGAGAAGACATTGGCATGATGGTACAAATGTACATCATATAGAGCGCATTACATAGTGAGAGTTATAATAATATACATGTTTGTTTGATTGGAAAGGCCGTAGTTGGCACGAGACGAGGGTCTAAAAGACCGTAGTTGGTAGGAGATTGGGGTCAGGAAGATCATTGTCTGGAGATGTAGGTCGGAAGGACCGTAGTCGGCAGGAGATAGGAGTCTGGAAGACCGTAGTTGGCAGGAGACTAGGGTCTGAAAGACCATTGTCTGGTGATGGAGATCGGAGTGACCATAGTAGGCGATGGAGGTCGGGAGGATCGTAGTTGGCAGGAGATAGGAGTCTGAAAGACCGTAGTATAAGGATGGTACTTCGGTAGAACTCCGGGCGTCACGTGATGGCCTGGTGGAGCTCGGGGCCTCAAGTGACAGCCCGATGGAAGTCCGAGCTTCAAGTAGTGGTCTGGTGGAGCATAGAGTCTCAAGTGGTGGTACGATGGAAGTCTGGGCCTCACGTAGTGGTCCAGTGGAAGTCCGGGCCTTAGATGTGGTCCGACAAAAGTCCGGGCCTCAGGTGATGTCCGGTGGAGCAATGGCATCAGGCGGTGGTCCGGTGGAGGCGAGGGCCTTAAGTGATGGTTCGGCGGAGCAACGACGTCTGGCAGTAGTCCAGCAGAGGTGAGGGCCTTAAGTGGTGGTCTGGCGGAGGTGAGGGCCTTAAGTGGTGGTCCGGCAGAGCAACGGCGTCAGGAGGTGGTCCGGCGGAGTTGAGGGCCTCAAGTGGTGGTCCGATAGAACTCCGACGGTGGTCGAGGAGGCAAGGAAGCAAGAGCGATCTCTGATCTCTCTTTTTTCCTTAGGCTTCCGGGGGTCCCTTTCAAGAGGAGAGGAGGTTCTATTTATAGATTTTGGGAATAACATGGCCAGTAAATAGGAGGAGGATCAAGGGTTAGTAGGGAGTGGTTGGATGGACGGCCGATATTGAATCCCTTGATCATAGACCGTTCATCAGACATTTGAAGGTCTTAATGGTGTCATAATTCAGCGATCTTAGGCTCGTTGGATTTTTCTCGTCCAGCCGCTCAATTCGACTGTAAACTTGTTATGTTTGGAAACCGTTTGGTAATCCAAATTGTGGTTTGAACCTTCCAACAGCACTTCGGGTCCTTGATTTTGACCCATTTGGGCTCGGATTGAGTCAAATTTGGTGTCTTCAGGTTCGTATTTCCGAGGCGCTCAGTTTGACTGTAAGTTTACTGAAATCAGAGTTCGGATGGTCTCCGAATTAATTTTTGAAGTTTCCAACTTGATTTTGCATCGAGATTTGTGCCCGATCAAGATTATTTTTTGACGACGTATCAATGATCAAATGATTAATTTTGATGGTGTTGGGTTCGTCTCAACGTTTAATTTAACTATAAGTTTATTGAAATAGAAATATTAGTAAAAAAAACTCAATGAAAAAACTATTTAATGGATATATTTCTAATAAATCATTCACAAATTTCAACAAGCATTATTTTTCTTATCAAACAAATATCAAATTTGACACAAATTAGAAGAATTTTTACGTGTGAAGTCTAGACGTAAAGTTACATCCGTACTGTGAGTATACATAGTGTATAAAGCTATAATAATATTTAATAAATTTTTAAGACTTTTAAATATAAAAAAATAAAAATTATATAAAGCTATAATGATATAAGATTATATAAAGCTATAATAATATTAATTTTAAAATAAGTTTATTTTCATATAATTTATATCAAAGCACAGTAATATAATTTTGTATTGATAAATAAGTCAAATATAATTTTTTTTTGGTTCATTTTCTTGACAGATTGGGCAAATATTATAATTGAAAAACCCAGCAGAAAAATTTTGTCCTCATCCTCAGCGTTCCCGTAAACAGGTAAGCAGGAAGTCTTCAGCTTTGCCCCTTAAAACTCCCGATTTTATCGGCGGATCACCAACCTTTACAGGTTTATAATATTCTACAAATTTGCTGTCGTATGAATGTGTAAAAAAATTTTCAACTTGGTAGTTGTGGATCGTCTCGTTGATCTATATAATTGACAACAGTTTTTATTCGGTTCTTTGTGCGGTAGATAATTGGAGGTTTGGAACAGGGGATAGCAGGAGAGGAGGATGGGGCAAGAAGAGGCGAAGAAGGTGGTGGTGGAGGGATCAACGGAAGAAGCTGCCCCGCCGCCGGGGAAGCCTGAGAAGGACGTGGCAGAGGAGAAGTCGGTGATTCCGCCTGCCCCGGAGGAGAAGGCCGACGAGCTGAAATCTCTGGCCATTGTGGAGAGTTAGTGCCCCCCTCTTCTTTTTCTGTTTTTAACTTATTTTGCCCTGACTTTGTTGGAAGAGAGGGTTTCGTTGCTGTGTTGTTTTCAGTGTCTAACTTTTTGTTTAAGTAGATCTGCTTTCTGAAATCTTCCAATCTGTTGTGGGATTTCATGGAAATTGGATATTTGTTGGTTCAGACTACGTAAGGACTTAAAAAAATGGGAAATTTTAGTGAATTTCATGGATCCCTATCTGTATTCGGTTGATAAAAAGCTTCTCAAGCAACCTGATGATTTAGAGATGAAGGGCTTATTTTTCAGAGAGATTTAGCTGTTGAATTCTGCTTGTCAACAGTTACTATAAGCTTTCTAGTCTTTTGTTCTCCTTGGGACCTATTTTCCAACTTCGGATCTCAGATATTGTTACCATACTCTGCATATTTTAATTAATAAGAAAAATTTTTATTCTATTGGGCTATTTGCATTGATCCTTTGCTACATATTCATGGTTTGGTATTAACTCTTTCGTAATTAGTTGGTTTTCTTGATGATTATGCATCCATGATTTGTTCTCTTCTTCTTCTTTTTTCTTTTTCTTCCCATACCTTAGTGAATGATCTTGGTGGAACTACAGAGGGTAGAATGAAGAAGACCTTGGCCTTTGGGGTGGGGGATAAGATGGTGAGTCGTAGTTGACGTTATATGTTGTGAAATAATCCCATTTTATGGAGTCTATGTACTCCATATGGCATTTTTATCTGCTTCCAAATTAGTTCACCATTCTAATTCTTGGTATATTTTAATTCTGATTTAATCATCTTTATACTTATGGGCTGTTTGGTAGCAGGATTTAGGCCGGATTGGAGGCAGATTTGAGCAAAATCCAGCCAAACGATCGAAAATGTAAAACCAAATATCACGGCAAATGAATGCCGCCGTAGACGGAAAATTCCGTCTTTTCATGCTAAATCCAGGATTTCCGAAATCTTGTTTTTTTGCCGGAATCACGAAATCCATTGGTTCGAAGGAAGAGTCTGCTCGTTAAATCCTCTCTATAGCCAAACAGTCACACGGGATTTAATAGGATTTATCATGAATGTTACCAAATAGTTTTCAGGATTTAGGCCCCTCAGGATTTCTAAAATTCAGATTTAGAGGATTTATGAAATCCTACTTAAATCAAATCCTAGGTGCTACCAAACAACCCCTTAGCCTTGTCAATATGAATAAATCTCATTTCCACCATACTGATACTTGTCTTTTACTCAGTTCTTTGTTACCCAGTACCTTGATCCATATAGAATTAGTGGATTGATTGCCTTTTTTTAATCCTATCATTTCTCCACCCTTTTTTTTCCCTTTCGATCTAGTTTTTTATCCTTTTCTTTTAGCATATAGTTATTGAAAACTTCGATGTGGTTATTACCAAATCCAAATGTTTGTGAACTATAGGCTGAATTTTCTTAGTGTGCCATTCCATTGTTGTTCATACCTTTAACAAACAGTTTCTTTGTGGAGCTTAACTTTGAATGCTTTGTTAAAGGATGATGAATCATTAATTCTATACAATTTGCTTGCAAGTAATCTACGGCTATGCTATGCTGATGTTGCTTCACGCCAGTAATGGACCTACAGGTTACGGATTAATTTTTCATGCTAATAGTGATGAGGACATCGACAGACTCTACCGACATGTTTATCGCCGGCGAAACCGCAAATCGACGGCCACGATTCAGCACCTCTACTTTTGATTTCGATGTCATGATGTATTATTTAGTATTTGCAATTTTTCCATTTTTACCCCTGTGGGGAGTTGCTTTGTTATTGTAGCCCAGAGGGCAATTTCGTACTTTCTTCTTTTTTTTTTTTATGAGTTGAGGCCTATATATAGTGGTCTCATGTGTTGTAAGATGGTTAATGAATATTTTGAATGAAATTTGTTTTGGTTAGCTTTTCTTCTTCTTCTTCTTGTGGAGAGTTAGAGAGGAGAACGAGAGCCCAAGGTGAGGGCGAAAAGCAATACCCACCAGTCATTGGAAGAGTCCGTGACTTGTGGTGCATCCCCATCATTCTATACTTGCCTTTTCCCAACCTGCCAACCCTAACTCCTCTTGGCCGCCAACCACCCCACCTCCTCCACCGCCGGCCTTCTTCCCCACTCCCCACTGATTTGAATTTTGAAAATACAAATTATTTGAGTTAAGAAAATTTCCAAATTTGTCATGCCAAATATGGAAAGTTTTCAAATTCGAAATTCGAATCAAAGTGGATCTTGTAATCAAACCTCCTCATGCACACAAGCTAATTTGGAAGGTTTGTAATTTGCTTCCACATCCTCTCCTTCCCATCTTGATGCCGCCGGCCTTACTAGACCTCCCCCTCATTAATTGCTCCATTAATCCCCCATCAATTTGAAATTAAAATTTTAATTTCAAATAAAACTCCCTCCCGAAATTTCAAATCATGAAATTTATTTCAGGATTTGTTTGCAAAACTCCTCCCTCTCCTCTCTTGAAACCGCCGGCCTCCCCCCTATTAAGTTCCCCATTAATTCCCTAATCAAAGCATTAATTCCCATTGATTTGAAATTCAAATTTCAAGTCAATTCCCTCCTAAATTACTCAAAACTGAAATTAAATTTCAGATTTGAGTAATCCCTTCCATAATTTCCAAAACCAAATTTCGCCAAACCCTAGCCTCCTCCCTCGTACCCGCCGGCCTCACCTCTCTCTGCAGAAATCCCGCCGCCTCCCCTCCTCTCCTCCTCCGCCTTCGCACACCACACTTGCTCTCACCTCTTCACCCCCATTCCCCTTTTCATATTGGGATTATTCCCAAACATCAAGCATGCATGACGGATCCGGAGCTTCAGTGGGGTGTTGTATTCAACGCCGACGGAAGCATAAATATCCTAAAATCTCCATTTTTTGACGTGGGATTTGAAGACGACACCACCGTGGAAGAATATTTGGAGCGAGTCGTCCCGATCCTTGCAAGCATCATCGACCGACGATTTTCAAATTACGATTGGAGTCTCGACGGCTACCCACTACATCCATCTCCACTGGCGACCTCTCCACCAACAAAGTTTTTCGGCGTCATCTTCGTAGTGGTAATATCTTTCATCATTATGCTCACCTTCCTCCGCTAAAGCCTACAAGTAGTTGAGTGAAAAGGCCTCAAGGTGAACCTCTCATTGTTAAGTGTTGGATTATGTTACTTGTACTTTTCATTTAAAATTACTTTGATTTTTGAAAGGATAGTCGTGGTTATTCTCTATTGCTAATCTTTGGCCTAAACAAGTTAAAATTTTCAAATTCTTAACTCTCTCTTGCATGATCGAAATAAACTTATAAGAGCAAAACTTAAAACAATTCTCTTTTAATTTCTAATTGTAACTCCTAGTGGTTTCACATCAAATAGTCAGTCAATGTAGAAACCAGCCAAACCAGTATCTGGCAGCTAGCCAGCTACTTAGCTACAGGAACTGATGACATGCTGCAGTAGAACCTCATATGGATACAATCATATGTCAAGGGGTGACAATATTTGACATGACCTGAAAACCTTGAACATGACACAAAAATTTCGGGTTCGGGTCAACCCGATTCCGTAACGGGTTGGGTTCGGGTTAAAGATTTCGACCTGTTTAAAAAAACTGGTCGGGTCCGGGTTGACCTGGAGACCAAAACCGACCGTTTCCTGCTCTCTGTCCATCCCGTTGCGTTTGAAGACTGAAGAGATGCCCTATCCATTAGTCGCGTCTGTCAGGCCAGCCATTCGCATCAAACGCTGCCTCACCGTCACTCGTCAGTGGCGTAATCGCGTCTGGCTCACTATTGGAAGTAGCGATGGGAACTCGGCAGCTCGCAAAGCTGCCAAGCGACGGGAGTTAGGCAGCTCTCAAAATCGAAAAATCCCCTAAATCCATGTTGGGTCGACCCAAACCCGAAGCGGGTCGGGTTCGGGTCCTAAAAACCGAATCATTTGCGAAAACCGGGTCAGGTTCGGGTTGACCCGAATAATGTAGGGTCAGTTCCGGGTTGAACACAAACCCGGCCTGCAACCTGAAAATTGACACCCCTACATATGTATACAGGATCTGAAGGTCACAGCATCCCCTAAGCAATTAAATCTGAAACCTGTTACAGGATAGATCCAAAATAAATAGCTTATATACCAATTAATCCAAAGGAAGTTAAGACTCATCAGATAAGTCTAAGGAGTCCAATGAACCAAAATGCAAAAAAGTTAACCAAAAACTGCCACCAAACAAAGCATTAGTAACTGAAATTAATGATTATAACATGAAAACATGCAGGACAACATAACAATTAACAATCTGTAGTCTGAAAACTTACAATATACTACTCAAGATTAAGGTTTTGTTTGGGACGGCTTTCTTATTGCTTCATAAAACTACTTTCTATTATAAAAAAAATTAATTTTTAAATTAAAAAGCTGTTTTAAAAAAGCAATAAAAAAGCCGTCCCAAACGAAACCAAAATCCAATCATATAAATCCAAACTCCACCACATGAAAATTCCACATCATTATGTGAATATTTTATTTAATGATCAATAGATTATTGAGTGCATGAGCTTTATTTGTCTTGTGAAGCAAGAATGCTCTTTTTTTCTTTTTTGATTGTTGGTTCATTGTATAAATGCAATCTCATTTAGAAGATATGCAAACTAGAAACTTGTTATTGGTTAGACATGGAATTTACAGTATAAGCTCTATCAGTGCTACATTAGCCATGAACATTTGGCTTTCTCTATGGTTCTCCATCCCAGTGGCAAATACTTATTAGGATGTGAGTTTTTTAACTGTGAAGTTATTCATATTAAGGTATTTAGGTAGTTGGTATATATATTTCGTATGATATCTGTGAGTATTTGGTCTAGTTTTAAGTTAAGAGTTGTTCTGCAAGACACCATACCAGTGTTCGAATTTTATTATTCATGTTGATGCTTTTGTCTTTGTGTAGTTTTTATGTTGTGGATTATTTTGTCTAGTAGAACTTTCCGGAGTGAAGAATGCACAAACTGGATAAAGTTCTTTATTTCATTTTACATGACCCAACTTTTTAAATTAGATATTTATATTTAAATGCTTGAATCATTACAGTAAATTTATTGGGGACCCATTTTGGACTCTTATGCAATTCTCATCATTGGTGAATGTTGCTATTGATCTTATTTTCTGCTAGGGAGACTATAATAATAATACTTTCATATTTTCTGTCAACAGAGGCCACAGATCATCCATCTACTGTGAAAAGCTCCAGTACTTCAATTGATAGAGGTAAGTGCTTAAAAACTTAAATTTAGGCTTCGTTTGGGACGGCTTTTTTGCTGCTTCTTAAAACAATTTTTTAGTACAAAACTGTTTTGAAAAGGAAAATTTTATACTAAAAAACTGCTTTTAAAAAAGCAATAAGAAAGCTGTCTTAAACGAAGCCTTAATCTTTAGGTATGATTGCATTTCTTTCACTATCCTCTCAAGCAAAGTTTAAACAAACTGTATGCTGTTTGTACCTTTAGATGCTGTTCTTGCACGGGTTGAAACTGAGAAGAAAATGTCTTTAATCAGCGCTTGGGAAGAGAATGAGAAGGCGAAGGCTGAGAACAAGTAAGTACCTTGTATATAAGACTTAAAACATTATTTTTTATGTTATTCACATTTTATATTTCATATAATTGATAAATAAGATAAACTTAAGGTAATGTAGAAGTTCATCAAAATGTTTTGCAAAGAATAGATTTAACACTTCCAGAAAAACTTAGGAACTAATGGGAAGAAGTTAGTACCTTTGCAATGTAGGGCTAAATTTGCATAAATTAATCTTCCCTCAGATCCTGCATTAGCATAAGCTCTTTTCTTGTTTACAATGGAAAATAAAGAAAGCAAGAACTCAAATTTTCTCTAATTATGTCAAATTTTTTATTCATAAAAGTCTTGAAAGTTTATCTTCCCAACTTTAATTTACTTTTGAATAATTGTTCAACGCATGCTTGAATGATAAGAGGAGTAAAGGAGTGAGAGTCAAACAAAAATAAAATAAAAATTGTTTCCATTGCATAAGCTTTTTGTTTCTCCGGAAAATGCTTCGCTGAACTCATTCGCCTGAAGGCTGTCTTTTAAAGGATGAATTATTCTGTGCGGACACCATACAGGAGCACTGTCCGGTGTTCTCTCTGTCTATAGTGAGCTACACTTTTACTGTAGACAGAGAGAAGATCAGACGGTTCTCTCTATCCGGTGTACGCACAGAATAATTTCTCCTTTTAAGCCATGCTTTGAGGTCTGTAGCGTTTCAATTTTTCTCTTGGTAGTCAACTCATTACTGCATTTAGTCGAATGATGTTCGCAAGTAAATATCTATTTTCTTTGTTGTTGTCTGACAGAGCTGTGAAGAAGATGTCTGCCATTACAGCATGGGAGAATGCAAAGAAAGCAGCAATAGAAGCTGAACTGAAAAAAATGGAGGTAGCATATTCTTACTCGTTTTATTGCATGACATGACAAAAATCAAATCATTATGTTGAATTTGTGAGTGCGAAGAAATCAATCTATTTTTCTCTTTCAAGCCAAAATCTGAGCAAGAAAAACTGTGATAAAAATGCAGGAAGAGCTGGAAAAGAAGAAAGCAGAATATGCAGAAAAGATGAAGAACAAGATTGCCATCATTCACAAGGAAGCAGAAGAGAAGAGAGCCATTGTAGAGGCAAAGCGTGGTGAAGATATTCTTAAGGTAGATGAAATCGCTGCAAAATACCGTGCGACTGGCCTCACACCAAAGAAGCTATTTGGATGCTTAGGATGATTTGATTTTTTTTTTTTTTTTTTTTTCTTTGCTTTGTTTGCCAATTCTATATTGTGTTGTTGATGATTATAATTTGGGCTGTTCTTTCAGTTTGTGGTGTTTACAGTGTGTTCTTTGTATAGATAAATGCAGCTTGCAAGAAACCAATAACAACTATTTGTATTTTTTTTTAAGTTTGTAATCAGTTGTTTTTTGTTTTGTCAAATACTGATAAAAATATCTGTATCTGAAACTAATTTCATAAAATTTCTCACATTCTCTTATCTTTAAGGTGTGAATGTGATTGCAATTACTTGGCTCTAAACTGATTGTTGTGTTTCATTTGGGTTTTTTGAAATAAGCTAAGAATTGAAGCATCATTCAAGCTTTGTTTGTGATAACTTTTTACTTTTTTTATTTAAAAAAAAAAATTAGTACAATTTTTTTTAATTCTCTTAAAATACAAAAATTTCCTTATATTTCACTTTTTTATGTTTCATATGAGCAAAATAAAACTTTTGATACATTCAAAATACCTCTAATTTTTTTAATTCTCTTAAAATACAAAATTTTCCTTATATTTCACTTTTTTTTATGTTTCATATGAGCAAAATAAAACTTTTGATACATTCAAAATACCTCAAATCCTATATTTTTCATCCATTTTTAAAAAAATTATAACATGATACATTTAAAAAATAATTAAATTTATTCTAAAATTAACATTATAAATGAATAATATATATATATATATATTACAAAAATATCAAAATAAATTCAATAATTTTAAAAACCATCTTAATACAATTGACAAAAAAATTTCCAACTAACAAGCCCTCAAAAACCTTCATTACAAGAACATATTATATATATCTACAATTAAACCACCAAATTTTTTTTTAAGAATACTGATTATTAAATCTTACATTGTCTGATTCAATATAAATTCGTAAACTATTAGAAACAATATTCGCAAAATATTAAAGGCGACAACAACTAAAGCCATTCCTGATGTTCTTAGAACTTGAGCAAAGCTGTAACAAAGATGCAACAAATGAGTGTGTTCATGAGCTTGGAGATGATTGCCTTAGCTTGGCATGCAGGATCAGCCCTAGATCATCTGCTACGCTTTTCTTCTTTGAAGTCATCTGCATATATTATAGTTGAATAGCTTAATTTCCTTATAAAGAAATGCCAGCAGCAAATTAGATGAAAAAAATTGTGCCGAAGACCGTTTTAAAATAACGGCACATCATATATATAAGCTTCAAATTGAAGGCTTTTTGGTTGATAATATAAGCTTCCAACCAACAGATCGAGATGGGCTATATGGTGGTATTTGGCCTGCAACTTGTGTGCGTGTGGATGGCAAAAATTTTTGTACTAGAAAGTTGTTTTAGAAAGCAGTAAGAAAGTTGTTCCAAACAAATCCTAAGTTATGATTAGTTCATAAGAAAATGTTAAGAGAGATGTATTTAACAACTCTTTCCAATTTTAATATTATAAGTGAAAATTGTGTGATTTCTTCAAATAAAGTAAAAAAGAAGGTCAAAAGGACTGTCAAACTAGATTTTAAAAAAATGCTTGCAAGAACTATCAGTGGACAATCACATACCTCGACAAGTTCTTCAAAATTAGATTTCAGTAAATTGATTTTCCGCTCACAGTAATCTTTCCCTTCTGCCATAGTTTTCTGTACAAAAACAAATAGTAATGTGCAGGAAAGCACCGTTATTTAATTTTACAAGTACATTTATATCAACTCCTACTTATGTAAGTCAAACACATTTATTCAAGTGAACAAATGAGAAGAGATTTGAGAATATGTTATCCAGCAAACCTGTTTGCAAAAATAATAAAGTTAATTATCGATGATTATCACAGTAAATCTCTGAAAGAATAAGAACTTGAAAATTTTGAGGGTTAGACTAATAAAATCTGGACAGTAAATTTTAAGCGTAAGTTGGGCAGCCAAATAGGAGTCCCTGCGTTATGGAAAATTATTCCGTGCGGCATTCGGATTCGTCTGGAGGCGAATCCGGATGCACTGGGCCCCAGGTGACGTGGCGCATCCAGATTCGCCTCCGGACGATCCGGACACCACACGCAATAATCTCTCATGCGTTAGAGCTTGTTGGGTCCAATTCATGCTACAACAATGTATTCATATTTAGTGTAGAGGCTATGAAGATTATATAGTCTTTTCTTTCTTTTTTTTTTTCGATTTTGTGTAGGCAATCCAATACTAGAAAATGCTTATGCTAGATGGGAACTAGCCACCCCATCCTTAGTGAACATATCATCCTTCGCCACAGTAAATATGCATTGTGCGCTCTTCCAACATTTGTGCTTCCCACCACGGCATTTTGTTGTGGCCTACAACATCTGCAACATTATCTGAATGGCCACAGTGAATCAAAATCTCATTCAAGTGCAGCTGGCCGCATCCCTTTTCTCACGTAATCAATTGCTGCATTCATCTAACCACAATCATTAGCATAGGCACACCACCATTAGTCAACCCTCACACATCACCCTCATGTACGCAATTTGAGAGTTTCTAAAACCCTAGGTTTGGATTGAGGTATTTGAGTAACCCAACATTCCTTGTCTCCACCACCTACTCATGGCGACAACTAGGGGTGTAAATGAATCAAGTCGAGCTCAAGTCACGGCAAACTCGAACTCGACTCGTCACTAAAATTAACAGCTCAAGCTGGAGCCAAGCCCAAAAAACGAGCTCAAACTCAGCTCGAGCATTCGTACTCAGGCTCGAGAACTCAACTCGATATAGAGTCAGTTGGATTTCTACTTCGTCGAACGAACTCATAGGCTGCGGTGGAGCCGTGGAGATCATTGGTGGAGCGTGCTTTGGTAAGAAGAGGGAACTTAGGAACCTGTGTACAAGGTTTTTATTTTTTTTCTTTAAAAAGCTAACAAAGTAGTTAATGTGATAAAGCCTTTTCTTTTAAAAAGTTGCTATGTTGTACATAACTTTAAATCCTATTATTAAATATATAAAATTTCAAAAAATTTAAATATTTATAGCACCTGGAAAAATATTTTTTAAATTTATTTAAACCGGATCGCGAGCCGACGAGTCGAGTTTAGTCAAACTCAAACTCAAGCTTGTTTAATATTCAAGCTCAAATTCGAGCTCGAGTCTCAACTTGCGAGCTGGTTAGCTAATCGAGTCTGAGCATGCTCGGTTCATTTACACCCCTAGCCACAACATCCTCCGCTATTAAGCATACACATTGTTCGCTCTTTTGACTATGATGCTTCTTTTTATGTCATTCTATCATAGCCTCACAATACCTACAGTGTTCTCCGTTAGACCACCATGAATCTAAATCTCCTTCAATTGCACTTTGTCTCACTTATTTTATCTCCCAATCAGTCATTGCATTCCACTAACCACAATAAACTCCACCCACACCACCATTCATCATCCATCACACATCTCCTCACATATGTAACCTAGCAAGAGACCACCAACACGCATTGCCCATAAGCCTTCGGGCCCACCCTTGCCTCACCTATGTAAACAACTGCAACATCATTCACACTAACTGTTGAAATTATGCTACAATAATTGATGCATATCATGCATCTACACCGAGGTTTTGTTTGGGACAGCTTTTTTCCTGCTTCAAATTAAATTTTTTATACTAGAAAGCTGCTTTAAGAAGCAATAATAAAGCCGTCCCAAACGAAACTTGAATCTCTCATTCCTTTGTAAAAATTAGCTTTTAAGTACTTCGTTTCATAAATATTAAATCATTAATTTTTCATGTATTAACATATGCCTTCTTATTATCAAGCTCGTTCTTCATCCTATGATCTCGATCGTACTCCGTTAGCAATCAAAATATGATATTTACGGTGGCTACAAATTAGAATGTCTAGCTATTTCTATTATGCAAAGAAATTTACAAAAGATCAGTAGTGAAGCATTTTGATGTAAAATGTAACAACTTCATGATTGCACGACAAATTTAAAAGCGAAAACTAAAGTTTTGATAATAGAAATTATATCTAACAATTTCAGAATAAATAACCCACTTGAAAAATAAACAATAATAATTAAATCAAAATTTTACATCATAACAATAAAATCTATAATGTTGGTATAAATCCAAGGGAAGTACAAATGAAAAATTAAAATAATTTTATAGATCAATACAAAATCAAAGTCCAAAAAGATTTGAAAAATAAAAAATCAGAAATAAAAAAATCAAACGATTAAAAGGTTGAGATAATAATACAAGTTAAAATAATAATGATAATACTAGGTTTCGGTATTCTTTATTTTAACCTAAAACTTAAGCTACACAAAAAGTGAAAAAAAATAAATACATAAATGCAAGATACACAATTTAAAAAATCATTTGAAGCGCATACCACGAGGAGCGCCTTGAATTGAGGTGCACAAGGAGCGCCTTGGTGCTTAAGCCTCACTAACGCTGGTGAGTGAGGCTTACGCTTTTTCTAAATGAGGCTTATTTATTGAGGCTTTTTAAGGTTTATAAAAAATTTGTTTATTAAATATTATTATTATAACTATTTTATTTTATTATATCTTAGCTAATAAACTCCACGATCTCGCATGCTAAAGCACACTCGAGCTCCAATCGACATCGAACATTGGGAGGAGGACGCGAGCAACCGAATCGAGTGAGCAAGAGGTCGCGCGTGTGCTCCTTTGTGCTGTGCTTCGTCTTATTCTCTGTGCATCTCCATGTGTGTTTCATCATTGCCTAGCATAACCCTTTTGTACGTACACACATCGAGATCCTTTGCTTCCTTGATAATTCTCAATTTTAAGGTATTAAGCTTTTTTTTTTTAATTTATCATGTGACTTGCCGCATTTGCAGAAAAACTATTAACCATGTTCAATTTCTATATGTGAGCATAATTAAAGTACGTTCAACCAAGTTGATATAAAGAGAAGAAATCAATTGGCTACAACATACTTGTTAACGGCGAATGACGCACCATGGCAAAAATATCCCATTGGAGCCATGGCGCACGGCACAACGCGCGCCATTTTGAACATGGCACAAATTATGCAAGAATTATAAAATAATAAGCATGGATATGAAATATCATTAAACTGAACAACAACCTATCATAATAACAAGCAAATAATGACAATACAAATAAATAACAATCAAAACAATTTACTCAAGCAATCACCCAAGCAATTTATTTAAATAGATAACCCTATTATACTTTGTGGAATGTTTGTCTATCCTATCATATCCTTTTACATTCTAAAAACTATCTACTAGTTAACTAACACGCTAAGAAAATTACCACGTCCAATCAAGATATCACTTCAGTCACAATCATATCAAGTCTATTACTAAAAAAAGTCACTTCAGCTTTCATGTTCTCCATCAAATATATGTCTTCATAAAATAAATTCCAATGAGATTATCCTTCAACCAATCTCTACAATTTCAAGTCCAATAAGTAGTCAATCTTCATACCACTCAAATATATTTAAATGAAAGTAAATAGCATTAAGAAGATAAAAATATGCAATCTAACATTTATCTTAACACTTTTAATATATTTAAAAATTAGAATATATATTATCTTAAAAAAAATATAAAAAATATTTATAATTACATTAAAAAAATTTTAAAATAATGATGCACGCTATTTTGCGTCGTGTGCCATGAGCCATGGCGCATATGTGGCGAAAATAGCGCACGCCATTTTGAATGTTTGCGTCGCGCCATACACATGGCGACATAGGTGCGTCGCGCCGTGCGCCATGGCGCATGCTATTTTATGCCATTGACATCTATGGGCTACAGGGATGAATAAATATGCTGATTTATGAAATATTTCATAAAAATTTTGAATTCTAGACACCGCAAATTACAGAGGCTAAGAAGTAGTGATGATTAAATAGATACTTTAGTTATTGAAAATATACTATTTAATGATGAATGAATAACAACCAAAAAGTAGTAGAAGTTTTAAAGTTGAAGAAGGAACGACCTTTAATGATGAGAAGAATAAAAATATTAATATTAACATAGAAAATGTTACTGAATTGGGAGCAGCTTCTACTCATAATGATTTAAAGGAAAGAAACAAAATAGAGTTGAAGCTTCAACAAAATCAAAATGTATATTAAGTATATGGATTATTTTGTTGTTTTACTTTAAATTATGTTGAATCCAATGTTAACTGGCATAAGGAGTGAAAAAAAAGTTTATAATTGAAGAAGATTTTGAAGGCGACAATAAGACAAAATTCGAGGATGATAGAATTATTACATATAAGGACTCTATTGAAAAAAAAGGTGAGCATGAGGCCGCAGTGGATCCTGATAATCGTAGTATACTTACAGTTTAAGTGAGTGCTTATATTGAATCTCATTTCAAAATTTCATTTTCTAATAACTTTGATACTGAGAATTCTGGTTTATATCTTTCTGGTAATGAATCAAGTAAATATGTTGATGATTTATTTCTTTGTTGTCATTTTTATGAATTGTTTATAATTTTACGAGTTTTTTATTTATCTATTTCAAGGCTTATGCCCGATCCGCCTTAAGGCTTACACATTGCCTCGCTAAGATAAAACACCTTGATTACTTATTTTGCATTTTTAAACCTTTGCTAAATAGAGCTAAGTATTCTAACCTAACATCATTTTTATAAATCCCTATCCAAAAAAAAAAAAGAAATTAGGAGTGCTAATTTTTTGAAAGAATATTCAGATATAAAATTCTAGGAGTGAACATTGACTACCTAAAAACTAGAGAGAGTTTTTGAATGCAATGTAAGGAGGAAATGAAGAACTGTGCAATTGTTTGCGTTTGCTCACATGGAGCAGAAACTATAGACGAGTAAGCATGTGAACATAAAGTCTTGAGGAAATTGCTGGCACCTACTCACATGTGGAGGATATTTAGAGACAAAGACTTGCATGAAGAGAAGATCAACCATCAGCTGTTGCTACGATGTTCTCAAATAAAGGAATTTGGTGATGGAGAAAAGCATGAAGAGAAGGTCTAATGTCATTTACTATTATGATGTTCGCTAGCCCTACAATTTTTTACTTCTAAGAATTGATTGTCATGGTTCTCCCATCCGTTTTATTCTATCGATTAAACAGGCTACTCAACCAACCATCTAAGATGAACCCAAAGATTAATACGTTGTTATCCCAAAGACAAGGCTCGCAACAGATGCTTTGTGTGAATGCTTGGTAAGTGCTTTCAGCCTTGAGTGGCGTGCATCGGATGCTTAACCTTGTCCATGCACTTCAAGGGGCTGTGACACATGAACCCTTCACAACACACCATTTTGCATTTGAAATGTGCTTCAATGCACACTTATAACAACATTGTTAAATATATATTTTACTTTATCTTAAAAAAAAAAAATCAATGAACTCAGGTCAACCCAAGCTCAAACTTGATAGGCTTGGCTCAGAGGTCATTTATAGAGGAAAACTCATTCTCATGCAAGTTACGCTACTAAAGGGGCCGCATATGCAACATAATGCTTTGTGTTGTATGTTTCCCGCATATGGTAGATTTTTTTAAAAGCAAGGTAGCTACAAAGCATTACCAATTGAGGCCTAAGTTACACAAAAGGAGAATTATGCAATGTAGATGAAGCTTGATTTTACTTAATCTGCAATTATAGTACTAGTAATGAGATTATAAAGGATATGAATGTTAGAAAATATAAATCAAATAGGGCCAAAATTGAGCTAGAAAAATAAATGGTCAAACATGCTTTAAACCTAAACACTTACGCTATAAATGAGGACACAATAGTTGGTATCTATACACTAAGGTATTTTTTAAAATATCTAATGTGAAATAAACTCAATACTCTCATTTGCCTTAATAATATCATACTCACATGAAAGCTCGCCACAGCAATCAAAATTCACCCACAAGAAAGGCATTTTAACACCATTAAGTATCATGCAGCAAAAGGTCACTCAGCCACATGTAGCCATCATGAAAATCGCTCTTTTACCTTGCTTGATCACAATAGACGTTAGTTAAGAGTTAAGGGAACCACAAACCATAAGAATCACTCAATTTCAATCAAACAATCAGCTTTGATAATACATAGTAATGAGTGTGGACTAAATGGGGCCCGAAGTAAAACTAAATACACCAATGGTCAAGCCTATTTTTAACTTAAAAGCTTGAGCTTCTGGGTGGATGAGGGCCAAACACTTGGTATTTCTACATCAATATATTTTTCTACGATTAGATTCAGGACTCAATAGTTTCATATGTCCTAATAAAAATGCCAACGCTAGATCTCCAAAACTTCAGCTCGCATTTTTTTGTTTAGTTTGCATGTCACTATTGTTTCATTTAATGTCACAAACATTTAAATAAATCAAAAAGCTTATGACATATCATATAAAACAACCAAGTAGTTCAAACCACATTGCAGCATAAAGAACCCAAGAAGGTATAATAATGTATCTAATTAGAACCAACTATATTGAATTCTGCAAATGCAAAATAATTTAGCAACAAGATAAAATGAAGAAAAGTTACATAAGTCCCAAAATTAACAGTAATTAAGCAAAAATGGTAGGGCATGTACTGCTCAATCTAGGATTCAAGTAAATTTTACACACAATAATATAATTGACACAAAGACGCACTTAAATCAGCATTTTATGAATAAAAGTAACTATAGTTTGTGGTTGTTATTTCACTTATTTGAGTTTTTCTATCCTATAAAATTACTAATGTCTAAATAATGCATATAAGTTGAATTATGGCATTGAAGAGGTCAAGCGTGACTAATTAAAGTTGACCTTACAATTGGAGAAAAAAAAAATCATTTTGAAGGGCAAGGATGAATAACTTATCAAATGCTAAAGCGGAAGATGCCTGGCTTAGAACATTAAGCTAGCTAGCTTAAAAAAACTAATCAGATTAAAAAAGGTCAACAGATCATAAAAAAGAAAGCAACCAATAAAAAAAATCCTTTCTAATGGTGATTTTTCACCTGTAAGAAAATCGACGCCTCAACTTGATTCCACTAGTTCTTATTAAACGCGAAAGTTTGAGAATTAAGAGTGGTACAGCAAAAAAATATTTTTTTCAAGCAAGCAGCAAGGGTTTTTCAATTCTAAATAGCATAGAATTAGACATTATATAATCATGTCAAATGGTGCATTTACTCTGTTTGGATGGATAGATTAGCAATTCAATTTAAACTCCTCTGTCCGAGTTCTAACCCACCTTGCCATAGGAGCTAACATAAGCTGGCCTCTAAAAGTCATTTTTCAGGATCAAGAGAAATCAAACATCCGTGAGAAATAGCATAACGAAATAAAGGTACCTCAATAAAATAACCGGTTCCAACATCAACAAGGACCTTCTTAGCGTCGTCAAGGATTCCCGGGACGTAGAGAGACGCCGTGAGAGGTACAAGCATCTTCTTACCTGTAGCAACAAAAATCTTAGTGATGAAGCAGTACAAAAAGGGGTGGAGAGAGAGAGAGAGATGCCTTGAGGGTGGAGAGACAGGTCGTGGAGGGCAGTGGATGCGATCTCGAGACGGGTGGCAGCTGTCCTGATCTTGTTAAGGCTATCCTGTAGGAGATTGACCTCGATATCAGACTGCTCCTTTAGGACTCGGAGCTGATCCACGCTCATCTTCTCCATGTCCGAAACCCTAATCGTGTTGGCCGCTTCGATTCCCTTCGCCGACGCCATAGAAGCCCGGAAGAAAAGGCCGACGCTATTACTTTCTTTTTTTATATTATTTACATTTAGACATTTCGCTGAAAAATATAAAAGATTTTTTCATTATTTTTATCCATTTTAAAGAAAATTTTTAGTTTTTGGTTAACACTTATTCAAAAAATATCAAAATAGTTTCTACATTATTTGATCAATTTAGTCACAAAATATCAAGACATATGTGCAATAATAACGCCGACATCCTATTTACATATCTAACACCCAAAACTTTAATATTACATGCATACCATCATATATTATTTTAATATCAAATATACCACTTATATTTCTTTCCTACCACTCATATTTGATATGAAAATGAACTATGGGTGGTATATATGTAATATTAAAGTTTTAAGTGTTAAATATGTAAATAGAGTAATATAAGGTGGTATGTATGTAAATCTCCCAAAAAATAAACAGAAAGATTTAGCGTTCATAAGGCAGTACACCCAATAACACGGAACATATAAAGGGGATATGAAACTGTTTTAAACTCTGGAAAAAAAAATTATATAAAATATATATATATAGACATAATATATAAGAGCAAATAAAGCAAAGTAAACATTTCATTGCATTAATATAACTATATAAGTCATAATGGGAGTACATTAATGAAATAGGAACAACAATAAATGAAAAAAAAATAAAAAAAAAATAATTGCACTAATAACATTACCCAAACTTAAAGTATTTACGGTTAAAAAACTATAAAAACTTAAAATACCAAATGAGATCCTTATGCTAATAAGTCTGCTTTTATGGTAATGATCCATCAAGTAGGGATGTCAAATTCGGGTCACGGTTGGGTTTAGGTCAAACTCGGAACTAACCTGACATAAGTTGATTCGACTCGAAGTCGACTTATTTTTGCAAACGGGTTACTTTTTCAAACCTAAAGCTGCCCTGCTTCGGACCGGGTAAACCTGAAATTACCTGCCAACGCAGGTCAGCGACGACACGGTGTTATAGATCCTCCAGCTGCCGTTAACCTCAGCCAGCGGGGTTGGATTTTGAACCACATTTGTTTGATTTTGGCAGAGGCGACGACGTTTGGTCTCAAGGGTTGTCGTGTTTGGTCTCGAGGGGGCGGCTGAGGCTGCTGCGTCGGCGTTAGCAGCAGTGGCGGGGGCGACAACGATGTCGTATTCAACCTTGCAGCCGCATTGGTCCCAAGGACTGCCGCATTTCAACGTTTGGTCCCAAGGGCTGCGGGTACAACGAAGACAGTTGACTCTCGGTTTTTTTTTTTTTTTTTTTTTTTGCAAACAGGTCAGTCCGGGTCAAATTCAGGTTAGCGGGTAAACCCGGACCAGACCAATTTTTTCAAATGGGTCGAATCCTGGAACTCGAACCCAACCTGCTCGGGGTCAAGTCTGTGTTGTACTTTTAGGTCCTGTCAAATAATGAGACTCCTACCATCAAGCACTCTAATAGAGCTTTCTTCGACAAAAAAAAAGTTTTTCTTGAAAGAATTTGATAAATAAAATCCAACAACTAATTATTATCTATTAAAGCATAAATGAGATGGCACTATGGCACATAACATGAACCCTAGAAAGGGTATGTCACAAGGTAATTAGTTTCATCATATAATAAAATCATGATAATATTACATTGTCCAAATGAAATATGTCATAGGTCCTCAAACAAATTCTAATATGGTGTGTTCTTCATGGTCAATGTGTGCAGTGACTATTTTCCATATTTATAGTTGGTTTTATCAAGACATTCTGAAACTAAAAAATAAATTTTCTAGGAATTTCATAAATAAAATTTTAATAAGCAATATATAGTTAAAATGGAAATTGCTATTTTATAACAAATTATGATTTGTGCAAATAGCATTTATGAGAAATAAATATTCTACTATAGTCATGAATTCAATATAGAAAAATTTGTATGACAATAAATTAAGACAAACTTATTTATGCAACTAGTTCTTTCATTATGAAAATCAAAACATATATACGAGTAGGTATGTCAATATTTGACATGACCCGAAAAATCAACTCGAACCCGACCTTAAAATTCCTGGTTAGGGTCAATCCGTTTGTCGGACAGATTGGGATTAGGTTCAACAAACCGACCAGTTTCAAAAATTGGGTCAGATTCGGGTTGACTCGGAAACCCGAGAATGACCCGGAAACACGAGAATGACCCAAACCGAAGCAGGTCAAGTTCGGGTCCGAGAAAATGATCCGTTTTTTAAAATGGGTCGGGTTCGGGTCAGGTCAATATGTGTTGGGTCAATTCCGGGTTTGACCCGAACCCGGCTCGTGACTCGATTTTGACGGCTCTATCTACAAGCATATGCGTAATAACTAATTGAAAGAACAAATGCATAAAAATAGAGAAAAAATTATCCTAAGTCTCAATAAAGTTATAATTTTTTACAAAAATTCATTACCATTACTATAAGGTTGGAAAGATAAAATGAATGAAGAGTAATTGTTGGAGATGAAAATTATACCATTAAAAAATGTTTAGGCTTCATTTAGGACTATTTTCCTAACTTTATAAAACAACTTTTAGTACGAAAAATTAAACTTTTCGTACTAAAAAGCTGCTTCAATAAGCAGTAAGAAAACCTTACGAAATGATGCTTTAATGTGCAATAATAACTAGTTATATCTTTCAAGACATATGTGCAATAATAACTAGCATCATACATGTAAGAAGTTTGTTAGGAGAACAAAATTTCTTCCATCATATTGTTTTGTTTCAATGAAACATTTGCTTGTTGATTTGACATATGAGACAACTATTAGTTTTCATATATATCTAATATAAATGAATGCGCATCTATTTGAAAGGTATTATTCCCCTAGCTATAAGGAAACACTCTAATCTAATTATATATAAATAATAATAATAATAATAATAAGAAAAGAAAAAAAATTCTTTTAAAAATTAGGCCTCAATTATAATTTTCAAATCACTTCACCAATAATAATTTTATGACCTCTTTGATTGTCAAAAGAATTTATTTTTTTTTTCATCTAAGTCTTTATTTTTCTTACTCCTTTCTAAAATAACTCTTTAAATACAATTTTTTTAAATAAAATTTTTATACTAAAAAAACTATTTTATAAAACAAGTCAAAACTTGTTCCAAACTAAGGCTTTGTTTAGGCCTGCTTTCTTTCTACTTTTTAAAACAATTTTGCAGATAAAAATTAAAATTTTTGTACTAAAAAACTGCTTAGAAAAATAGTAAAAAAAACAGTCACAAATCAAGCTTAAATTTAAATCTGAAAAAAAAAAGAAAAAAAAGGGTCCCAATAGTGTCAATTTCCACACAATAATGTCAATTTCCAAGCCATCAATGTTGCCTAGAAAGCTCCAAAAAGCAAACTATTTCCATCAAATACTTGAGCAGAACTTGTCACCCAGTCATACCAAACTACTTATAGAAGTCTGATTAGGAATCAATAGCCAATTAGCCATACACAAATAATAAAATAAATAAACAAAAAACTTCTGAGTCATATCCTAAGCAATTCAGCATATGGGAACAAAACAAATTCAGTGATAAAGATGATGAAAACAACAAACAATATTGAGCCTTTATCTCACTGCATAGAGAGATTATTCTGTGCGGAGATTGAACGCAGAACGTCATCCGGAGACCCCCTTAGAGATAGGATACGAATGAGCATATACGTGAAAAGGTTGGAGTAGCTCCAGTAGAAGATAAGATTAGAGAAAGTCGCCTTAGATGGTTTGGTCACATAAAACGGCGGCCTTGCGATGACCCGGTTAGGAGAGTAGATGTATTAGATTTGACTTATGTTAAGAAAGGTAGGGGTAGACCTAAAAAGACTTGGTTAGAAAATATTAGGAATGACCTTTCTTTATTAGATTTAAACGAGAATTTGACTTTTAATAGGACACAATGGAGAAAAATAATTCATGTAGCCGACCCCACGTAGTGGGATAAAGGCTTGATGTTGTTGTTGTTGTTGTTGGGTCCTGTTCCAAGTCAAATTCAGACTGTAATTTTTATGATATTTAAAAAAAAAAAAAAATAACGAGAGCTTTTCATTATTAGATCCACAACAGTGTAATAGAAGTATACAATCATTTATAAATTAACCAAGCAAGCAGTCTGACATTATAAACAATGGGAGAAAAACAAACCGGTTCAAGATTTAGACATTCCAGATTCTTGTGGAGTTTTAGCGACAATAGAGACGGCATGGAGGCCAGTTTTGAGCTCATCAGCCAGAAGATCATAAACCATGCGGTGACGCTTCACCAGACTCTGCCCATCAAACTTTGGAGAAACCAGCTTGATATTGAAATGAGTCTCGTTAGCATCTCCCTTCACAGCTGCATGACCAGCATGTTGATATGATACATCTTCAATCTCCAACGAACTGGCTTCCAAAGCAGATTGTAGCTTTTGCCTGATCCTGCTGGCTCTTGATAATATATTGGTACTTCGAGAAGCCATTTCTGAAATTTTGACAAGGAGCTCCATCAATGAGATGAAAGACTAATTGGAATTTATGAACAAATAAATTAAATTAGTGCTTGAAGATTAGGTAGGAGAAGTAAAAGTAAAATAATATGAAAAAATGTTGTTTAAAATGATTGTGAAAAATAAATTTAACACCAATACTTTATAGGTTCGAATAAAAAATGAAAATTCAAATAGGACTCATGATAAGAATTAGTTGGGTTTTAAATTCTTTAGGAAAAGAAAAGAGAGAGCCATGGTTGCAAAAAAATCATTTTTCAATAAAATTTTTTATTCAGTTGTAGCAAATTGTTTGCTTAATCAGAAATGGTAACTTTTCGGCTTTCATCAATCATATTTTCCCATTTTCTTCAAAACTACATATTAAGGCTTCGTTTGGGACGACTCTCTTTTTTCTTCTTAAAGCAACTTTCGAGTACAAAAAAAGCTGCTTTAAGAAGCAGCAGTCCCAAACAAAGCCTAAATAAGCTAACCAACAAAAGTGAAAAACAAGGTAAAGAACAACACATGTAAAAGGACAAATGAACAATAAGGCAATATAAAAACTGAACAGTTCTACAACTCCATAGTTATCCTACTTGTAAGCTTCAACACGAGTAAGGAAGAGTTATAAGCAGCTGCAAAAAAAAAAACAGTAAGGCAAGAAAAAGTATCCCCATTCTCCTCATTCCCCTTCTTCCTACAATCCTGAACCTCATTTGAATTAAGACATAATGAGGTATAAGAAAAATTTGAAATAGGTATGCTTCATAACAAGAGATATACAGATTCCATTGCCTTCCATAACAAGCCAAAGCAAGCAATCAGCATGTAAGATAAAACCAATTAATTACTAATGTCCAATCCTTATTTTGGGACAGCAATGAATATGCATACAAATAGTTTGAATGTTCACCAAATCTGCAAGCACAAGCCCAAGCTTATGTTCAATTTTAATTGGGAATGTCGAATCTTAACCAGCCCAAGTTATTTAATGTTTGGAACTTTGGATTATCAAGGTCAATATAGTTATAATGACCAGTAAAAGTGGATCAATTCCAACACCATTTTCCGTTTAACCAGCTAAGCTGATTAGAAACTCTGCCAAAAGTATGAATATCGCATAGCGTAGTCATGTAATATTCCTTAGTGTAATGAAAGTAGCACAAGTATAACATAAAAATCTAATGGAAGCGGACACATCTCAAGAATGATGACGATGAGTGGCAAGACTAACACATAATTTCAATCGGGCAAATGAGGAGTTCCTTCTAACAAGGGTACTTGATGTGGACATCGGCAAAGAGATTCCAGAATGCTTATCGCCGGAAGCATCGTAGATTGACGGCTACGATTAGGAGTCTTTATTTTTTATATATGTTTTGTGTTAGTTATTTTATTTGAGTGTTGCCGTTTGTACCCTTACTTACTATGTTTTGTGAGTTGTAGCACTGAGGGCATTCCATCGTAAATAAAATTTATGTTTTCTCTCTAGAGCTTGATGTTGGAGTAGCTCCAGTAGAAGATAAGATTAGAGAAAGTCGTCCTAGATGGTTTGGTCACATAAAACGGCGGCCTTGCGATGACCCGGTTAGGAGAGTAGAGGTATTAGATTTGACTTATGTTAAGATAGGTAGGGGTAGACCTAAAAAGACTTGGTTAGAAAATATTAGGAATGACCTTTCTTTATTAGATTTAAACGAGAATTTGACTTTTAATAGGACACAATGGAGAAAAAAGATTCATGTAGCCGACCCCACGTAGTGGGATAAAGGCTTGATGTTGTTGTTGTTGTTGTCTCTAGAGCTTGTGAGTTCTTGAGTGGTGAAGTCCCAAGGTGTAGACAAAGCAATACCCACCAGTCGCCAGAAGTGTCCGGGGCTCGTGGTCCGACTCCTCTTACTTCACCGCCGGCCTCCCTAATCCCCCTCACCCGTCGGCCAGTCTTCTCCCTCCCTTCCTCACAGCCGCCAAACAGCCCTCCTTCACCAGCCAATCTCCCCACCTCCCATTAGACCGCCGGCCTCCCTTCCCTTTCTCCCCCACCGGCCAAGCCCCTTCTTTCCCAAGCCCACCGCCATCCTCACCTGTCGGCCACTCGTCTCCCTCCCTTCCCCACAGCCGCCAAACAGCCCTCCTCCACCGGCCACTCTCCCCACCTCCCATTAGACCGCCGGCCTCCCTTCCCTTTCTCCCCCACCGGCCAAGCCCCCCCCCCGGCCAAGCCCCTTCTTTCCCAAGCCCCCTGCCCTCCCCCCCCCCCCCCCTCCTCCTCCTCTTAATGTTGATTTCAATCTTCATTAAGACCTTCCTAATTTAGCCTTCCTAATTTGGGAAAGATTTCATTCTATTTGAAATTCAAAATTTGAATTTTGAATACTTTCCTAAATTAACCATGTTAAATTAGGAAAGTTTTCAACTTGAGTCTAATTTAATATTAAATTAGATTTGAATTTTGAATACTTTTTCTAAAGTGGACCAATGAATTAAGAAGCATTAATTTCCCTCTCCAATTTCCTCCACACCCATGCAAGCTGTCGACCTCCCTTAGGCAATTTCCCCTTCTCTCTCCACTTTAACCCCATCCAAGCTTTGGATTTGAAATTCAAATTCATATTTCCGTCCCATCAATTAATTCCAAATCTGAAATTAATTTCAGATTTATTCACATTTTCCTTCTACCTCAACCCTAACCTAATTTGGCCAAGAAGTTCCCTCTTCCTCTTTGGCCGATCCCTCCGTCTCTGATCTCTTGGGTTTGCTCTTCTCATGATTGACATCTCTAAGAGGAAAAGAGCATACAACCTTCCAACCGGGCATTGGCGAATCATCGGTCATCCTCACACAACTCCTGTGAACTTTCGTTGGATTGGAACTATAGGTGTCTTCACAATTTGGGTGGCACCGTTCGGTTTATTGAGACTCTCTTTCCGCTAGCCCCTACTAAAGAGCGTGAGTGAGGGAATCTCAAAGGTGACTTTTCTAATTGTTAATTGTGGGATTTCTTGTTTACAGTATTTAAGCATATCTTTATGAATGAAATTGTTTTTCAAGTGAATGCTACTCTACTTTGTAACTAATTGCCCTTACATTATTGATATCCTTAAGTTCTAAGCATCCAATCTTGTGAAACATTAGTTTATATTACAATGCTTAATCAATTTTCTTTATAATCTCTAATGCAATTCCTAGTGGTTTCACATCAGTACTACACTATTAAAACCTACAAAAAAGCTCCAATTCTCACTAAATAAATAAAATATATGCGAATTTAAGCGAGCGACTCTCTTTTTTTTTTTCCTTTATTTTTAGACACATTTCTCTCAAAATGAATTCATGGCCATCTTCTCTGTAGGCTATGATGCACGGATACGCCTATTTACGAGGCATGTTGTATCGGACACGTGTCGGATACGGATATGCCTCCGATACGGCATGGATACGTGTAACATTATGTTTATGTTTATGTTTATGTTGTTGTACTAGACATTGAAATGGTTGAAACTTCATCTGTTGAATAGTTGAGGGAAATTCAAAGACAAACCACTGAAGAAGCTAATCCTATCATTCCTTCTATTGAATAGTTGAAACTTCATTTGCTGGACAATTTATGTTTATGTTTATGTTGTTGTACTAGACATTTAAATATTTAATGCTTACTTTTATTTTGATATAATAAGATGCAAAGCTACAAATGATGTTACTTTCAATTTTTTTATCATTTCAAATATTATGCTTTGATTAATTTGTTATTTTTTATATATGATTTATATATTATAATGTCGTGTCAGCGCCGTATCCATATCCTGTATTTTTAAGAATTGCCGTGTCCCGTCGTATCGTGTCGTATCTGTGTCGCCGTATCCATATCGGTGCAACATAGTATGTAGGACTTCTTTGTAGGAAGAACACCATATTGGCATGGATTTGAAATGGAGACCACCTTTTTGCACCTTCTAAGCAACATGTTATATCAACAAGAAGCATAAGCTTTGGCTTCTCATATATAACATAATTTCTCAGCCAACAATAATAATAAAATTGAATAAAAAAGCTAATGATTCTAGGTTTACACTAATGTTTAAAAAAAATAATTGGTAACCAAGACATTTTTGAACATCCCTTTTTACCAAAAAATTTCCAATGAGAGTACAAGTTCACAACTCATCATTGGTGCATTCACATTTATTATCTTAGATTCTATTCTCCCTTCCTTGGATAACATCACGACATAAACATAAAGAGGCACAAGAATAGCTATAGAAGACAAATGGGTTCCTCAGTTTTCTAATTACAGGCCATTTTATTCATATTCTTTAAAATGGATACCAATTTCGAAAACACAACAGAAAATAGCTTGAGCAAATCATAGTTAACTATTTTAAATGAACTTTAATGATATCGAGGTCCTGAGGGAGAGTAAAGAAGTGACATGGCCTTCTGGAGTATTCTTATTAATCTCCCTGCAAAACCAGATTATTCCTTTAATCTTTCTATCCCATAAGATATCATCAAATTCTCAATTAATAGCTAAATCCCCGATTGAATTGCTGCATAAACAACAGGGAGATTGAATACCAAGGTGCTGTTTGGTATCCTCTTTCAGGTAGAGTTTAGGCAAGATTTAGCTTAAATTTTGCCAAAGAGAAACTTTTGGGGCTTTAAAACCTACTGTTTTGATAAATCTCATTTCAATCTTATTATTGATTGAATATAGGATTTGATAAATCACACGATTCATAAGATTTAAAGGATTTAAGGATTTCTCACTCTCACAAAATCTTAAATTCTGAAGAGAACCAAAAAGTTTATCAATATTATTTTAACAGTTTTCATGCCAAACATTTCTAACATTTTAATCCTTTCAAGTTTTATTAAATCTGGATTACAAGATTTAATAAATCCCACCTGAATTTAATCCTAATTGTACCCAAACAACTCAATAAACAGGCATTAATCCCATTCTCAAACATTTCTTGTCACAATAACTCAGAAAAGCTCTGCTATATCACCACAAATTAGCACGAATCGAGAAAATCAAATTCACTAAAACAATATTACCAGCTTGCAATTTAAAGAACGCCGCAGGATGGTAGGAAATACAGGTCAAGCATTTATCACTACAAATTCATAGTCGAAAACTTTGTTTGAAGGAGGAAAGCCGAAACTTATTACTCATTCCTGAAGAAAAGAAAGGATACTAACTGAAGAAACCCTGTTAATGACAACTAGAAGTCGAAACTACAGAAACGTATCCGGATCTCGGTATAGGGCGAAGCTTGCCGCCTCGCACCAACAGAAATGGGGAAGACGTCGAAGGCGAAACCCTAGCAAAAAAAAAAAAAACGCTTTGATTGAATTAATTTCAATATAAAACGAAAGACCTGATGTTGAATAAAAAATGAAGCATATAATTCAACCATACATCATACATAAGAACAAATGAATCATGCTTGCAAAATCTTATAAAAATTATTTTGTGCGGATGCCGAATGCAATTTATCGTTTAGAGATTTATCAGAATGCATCATGTTAGCACTATCAAATATGGTACTGAGCGGTAGTAAGCCGTGGTACCGAGCGGTGGTGACATGACACATTTTGGTTGGTCTCTAAATGACGTTTGGTGTCCGCACAGAATAATTTGCTTTAATAAGCATAGATCTTTTTTAATAGACGGAGGCATTTAGGCTAGCTAATTAAGTCAAACTCATATATACATCATATATATAAGACTCGAATTCACACAACTCATCTTGGTATATTGGTTGAGAGTTTAGGCTAACAACTAATAAGTTTTGGGTTCGAGTCTTGTGTATGCGATGTGTATATGAGTCTGCTCTAATTGGCCTAAATATTCCAAAAAAAAGAAACTCAAACTCAAAACCTATTAATTGATATCCAAAACATCCAACCAGAAAATCAAGATTAACTGTGTTAATCAGCATATACCCACTTCCCTTTTTGGTATCATCAAATAATTCTAAGTATAATCATACAAAAAAGTGAAGATGCATGTGACATAATAGTAGAAATAACAGACAAACATAGGCACGATCATTGCATAAGAATAAGATAGTCATTCAACCAGGGGCGGATCAAGCTTCTTTTTTCAGGGTGGGCAAAAAAAAAATTGTGGGGGATACGCAAAGATGCTTAGGATTGATTAAATGAGGGCAAAAATTTTTTTTTTTGAGAGGGGGCAAAATACCCAAAATATCCCTCTAAAATTTAAAAAAAAAAATTGAGGGGGGGCATTTGCCCCCCCCTCAACTCAATGGGGATCCGCCCATGCATTCAACCACATAATCATCATCTACATAGAAAGTTTTACATCATAAACATTTCACAACCACGAGTTCTTAATCATTCATAAGAAATAAATAGAAATGTGCGAAAGATTCTAAAGTCAATAAAACTAAATTCATCATGAAGTTGCTTTGAGTTAGTCAAATGGGTTCATATCCAATAAGTTATATCAATCCTCTCAAAGTAGTAAATTTTCTCATGCTAATTTATAGAAATTTGGTGAAACTTTTCAACAATCTCATAATTATTGTCATTATTATAAATAAGGTTGATGAGCAATAGTATCTCACAAATACCCATTTTTGAAACCTTAACGACAAATTTCTTCATCATTTTTTTAGTCTCAAATATATCACCTACGAACTTCTCATTATTCCTGACAAATTTTCTTTGCGATAGGTACTTCAATATATATAAGGGTAATTAATCAAATTTTATATTTCATTCATCTCACAGTAAATTTAATGGCAATAAAGCTCAACTTAATCAAATGTAGATAAGGATATCTTCATAAAAAATTTCTCCATTTTGAGGGGTAGGGAGCATTGACCAAGAGAGAGATCATGCAACTCTTTCGAATTACACAAAATGAAATTATGACTTAGGCCTAATTACAAAAGAATTTGCAATAGTAAATCTCATCACACTTGATATATCCAAATAGAATTATGCATGTTGGATCCAAATTTGCTCGTGGACGATAACCTTACCATATTAATAAGTCATTGGTGGGTTATAACTAGTGAACTAAATAAGGGAAGCTTGTAATTATGGAGTTTAAGTCAAAACTTTTTTTTATCTCTATGGATAATCCCCATAGCATGAAGTCCAAAATCTGCCTCTTTACCTCTTATTTATTGAGTCAATGGTACCGACTATCAAATACTTATTACTAAAAAATAATGTGATAACCAGAACTTCTTACTTGTTTAATGTGACTATTGAAAATGCATGTTATTGAGACATTATTCTCATTACTGTACATATTTATTATTATTTTATTAATTCACTATTACTATATATTATTTTATTGCTCTTACAGCTGGATTGTTATTATTATCGATATTATTTGATACTACTAATTTATTGTACTAATACTAAGCATGTGATATACTGAGCATATAATATACTAATTTAATATTGATATAAAATACATGAATAGTATGTGTACACTCCTATATGATTTTGCTACATTGATATTATTTTGACAATCTTTACCGATGCTTTGATTTTTATCATTTTATACGATTTCTCTACTAATTGATAGTGATGATACAACGAATGCTTTATCGATTTGACACCCATACTGATTTATTAATTTCTTCACTATATTGCTTTACTGACTTCCGTGCCACACTATTTTACTATTTTACAGACTTTACTGTTGCTACACGTAAGTTTTATTGTTTCTCTATTGATTCAATGATCATATGAATGTTACTACTATGATTTAACTGTTAACATGCATATTACTCATTTACCGTACTTTGAGTTCAATTAGAGGTTTTGGTGACTTGTTGGGATTTTTAGCTTTTTATATGTGGCTTAAATATTTTTAGGTCAAGTCAGATAAGTAAGAGTGAGAGGCTGGTCAGGATTCTTCATGTTTACTATTAGCTTGTTTCTTTATCTCAGTAATTATTCATTTGTATTTAGGGTATGATAGATAAATTATGATTGTATAAATCCTAAGTAGTACACATGATTATTCCGAAAGTAATACAAATGTATATATTGATATTTTGATAGATATATTTATATTACAAAAGAAATTAGATAGCTTGGTTGTGTAAATTAAAAGTAAAAAAAAAATTAATTAGATTCTAAGGCATGACAAATATAAAGCTACGGATAGCATAATACTAAGCAGAACATAATAAAAGTTATCTATAATTGTATAAAAATCAAAACAGAATAATACCTATACAGACTCAGATCAGATCATGAAAAACTACCCAACCGGATCCTTCCCTTTCCCAAACACTAAAAATAGAATATAAAATTGCAGTGTGCTAATGTAACCGCCCAAACTCTTAATTAACGAGATATTGTCCATTTTGACCTAAAAGCCTCACAATCTTGTCTTATTGGTGTTATTTCTCACTATGTCACCCATACAAGTTCAAGTGGTGGCTCCTGTCATATAGCACTTTTTCTCATACAGTTCAGGAGGTGGCTCCCATGGCAAAGCAATTTGTGTTGTTTGGCACTTAGTTTATATCTTCTGGCTGGTGTATAGCTCTAATACCACAAAAGCTTGTCACAATCCAACTTGATGAGGACTCGATCAATACAAGTCTTATCGTGTTGAGTTGTGACATGTAAATCCCAAGATTTAGTTTTTAAATTATTTCAGTATTTGGATACTTTAATAGCTATATAGTTTGCATTTTGTATTAAATAATTAATTTAAATTAACATTATATGATATATTTAAATAATTTTAAATTAATTATATGTTAAAACTAAAAATAAATAATAAATAAATAAATTTTTAAATTTAAAACTAAGAGATTGACCTCAACAATTGAGTCAAACTCGAGCTTTCTAAACGAGCTCAAGCAATCAAGTCCAGCTTGAGCTTATGAATTTTTTAATGAGTTGAGCTCGAGCTTGAACTCAACAACAACTAAACAAGCTTAGCTCGATTAGACAGATACTCGACTCTACCAAACTCGACTCTTTTACTCCCCTACCAACATATACATATACAATGCAACTCTCTCAAATTGCTTGCAAATTAAAGCAAATAATAAACTTGCATTTATAAGTACATATTATTCTTATAGTAATCCTATGGCAGCCCAACATATTATAAATTTCATTTTACATGCTTCCTAAGCAAAATAATTTGTGGCTATCATCCCTCTACAAAAAGTATTTGCATTCTCCAATAGGTCCATCACCACAAACTATATAAATAAAATAATCTAAAGGTACCCATTCTCCACATTAAATGCTTCATCCAACAACTTCCACACATAAGTGCTGGAGAGAGCCTTCAAAATTAAAGAACAAATCGATGTTAGATACAGTTATTTTGGGCATATGATATTTTTCATATTTATAAAATAAATATATTTATTACATTATATGAAATAATACATTTTCAAGCGACATAAAAAATACATTATAAGAATAATTAAATAACTAAAAAATATGCATATTGATAATTAGACAAAATAAAAATTTAATATAAAAAATCTCCAATCATGAAGGCAATAAGCCACAGAAATTTATTATCAGCGGTGACAGTAAAAAAAAAATTACTGCAGCAAAGAAAATACATAATAATTTTATTTTGCACTCACTAAACCGAAAAATCCTGAAATACATATATAACCCTATTATTAGCTCGTTGATAAATCCAGCAACGAGTCGAATACAGATAAAACCCAAGAACTGGAAGGAAGATTTGAATAGACGTATCGATCTGTTACAACCAAATCCTCCATCGCTCTCAATTCAGTACATTAACAAGCAAAGCTAAAATGGTGAATTGAACGGATTTCAGGGGAGAATCCCAAATCTGAAGTCGCCAACTCGTCTTTCTTTCAACGCAAAATTTATGTTGGCAAGATCAGAGATTGATTGATGAAACAGAAATTTATAGTTGATCTTGATTTGCTTGTTCTCCATGACTGAGATAGATTCAGTTCAGATTTGAGAAGCCGTAACAATGTTAAAATTCTCACATTTTCTTCTGCATCATCATTAGTGTTCAATCGTTTGATACGAGAAGAAGATGGAAAAGAAAGGAGGAAAGAGAGGGAATCGAGGAGCCAATGGAAGAAAACCAACTTAACAGATCAGAGCTAGCTGGGCGGAAAGAGAGCAGTAAAAACTTAGCTATGTCGACATTCAAATTCACAAACCCTAACTTGCCGACTTCCAGAAATCGATCAGGCTAAGAAAATAGAGAAGGTAAGAAATCAGCGAGGCTCGTCCTCTCTCCTCCCGGCCGCGCCTGCGGCCGGTGAACCTGACAAAGAGGCGAGTAAGTTGAGGTGACCCTGCGCGATGGGAAGGTAGTTCCCAACCCTAGCCGCGGATGCCTCCCCCACTGACTGAACAGCTGCGGCGAACCTACCGGAGAACGCGGGTTGCGGCATGACCATCTCAGGCGCCGCGAAGCTCCACACCTGGCCAAAATCTGACCGGGCAGGGACGGCCCAGAACCCTCCTGCGGGACCCAAAGTTTGGGCCATGGCGGCGATGCCGGCCCCACTGCAACCGTTATCCTTTCCGGCGCTTCCATCGGAATCGTCGTCGGAGCGGATGCGTTTCCCGAGGATGAAGGGAGCAGGGGCGAGCGGTTGGGTTAGAAGATGGGTCCCGGGAAAGGAGGAGACGGCGGTGACGGAGGAGGCGCCGGATTTGTTTTCGATCGGAGCAGAAGTAGAGGAGCGCAGCGAAGTGGACGCAGTGGTAAAAGAGGCTGGTGTGGTTCCGGTGCCAGTAGCAGCGATGATAGAAGGCTCAGCCTGCCGCAGTAACCACTCGATAGTCTGTCCATCAGACTTGTGACCTAGCTCGCGCGTTAGCTGAAACACGCGCGCCGCGCATATGATCGGCATCCGGATCCTTCTTCCGCGGCCGTCCACCTTGCTGTGCCGATCCTTCGACGGCGCTTTCTTCACCACCAAAGCTCCCGTCGCCGCTCCGTTCCCGCTCCCACCGTTCACCGCCACCGTCGACGCTTGGCCTGTTCCTCCGCCGCTCGCTCCGCCTTCCGCCGCCGCCGGCATCGCACTACTATAGGATTTTTCTTTTGGCTGACAAAGAAGTAAGAGAGATGAAAAGAAAGAGAGAGGGAGAGAGAGAAAGAAAGAGGCCCTAATGATTGAGCGGCAGGAGAGGGTGGAGAGCGGAGACAAGAGGAAAGGGCACATGGGATGATGGGGCCCACGTTCCCAGGGCCACCCAAATAACTCGTGGCCACGACGACCTCCCGCCGGTGTCTGCCTATCAGAATCATCAGCGATAAATCTCTCTCATTGCTATAATGCGACCTATTCGAGGTAATATGATGCTTATCAGACTGATAATTAGCTCGAATATAGGACTGTAAGATCATCTCCAATCAAACTGCTTATCATGGTATGTTATTCCTAAATTACTGCATTCAAATTTTAAATCTCACACAAAAAATCAATAGATGAACAATGGAACTTTTATTTGGTCCGGTGAACGTACGTAGAGCTACGTCCGATCGGCACTAAGATTGCATGCACAAAATAAGAAATACCGAGCAAATACCGAGCAATATCAATAATAACCAGAAATATCATTAGGTGAAGACGAAATACCGAGTTATACCGAGCAATACCGAGTTATACCAAAAAATACCGAGAAAAACTCGATATTTTTTTATATAACTCGGTATTGCTCGGTATAACTCGGTATTGGTCTTCCCAGAGCGATATTCCTCCATATTATCAAACCACACCTATCAATACCGTTCAAATACCGAGCAAAAAATTGAGTTGCAAGCCTATGACCGGACGTAGATCTACGTCCGGTCAGAGGACCTAATAATTGTTATGAACAATGAGACGTTAATATTGACGTCGAACTATTCACCTATGAAAAAAAAATAATTACCTTCGCAGGATCCTGAAGAGTGCGAAACAGGAAAGAGGCGGTTAACTTCACGAAAAAAATGGAGTTCTATTGAAAACGAACTACTGCATTTTGAAGTTTTACGGCATTTTAGAGTGGAAAATGGAGTTTTTCGTTGGAGATGCCCTAAGTGAGTGGTTATGAGCTCAATTTAGTAAATAGCTCATTAGTCAAATTTAATGAACTAATGTGTTAAATTTAAGTCAATTTTGACCTGATTCACTAGCTTACGAGTCTGCTCGTTACAACATAAACATTCATTGTAGAATAAAGCTTGAGGTTGAGCTCGAGCTCGAGCTGTCAAGCTCAAGTCTAAGATAGTTTAAACTGGGCTCGATTTGTTTACTCCCTTACTAAATTTACATAAAATTTTAAAATTTTGGTTACTTTTTAACCGGAAGGTGGACCGGGTTTTTTTTAGGCAAGGAAGTGCGGTTAACAGGTGACGGAGACGGGTCTAATAATGACCCAGGTTCATTGGTCGCTTTCACCACCGTGGAGGTGGCTCAGAGGGACAGTTGGGCGATGCACCACACCTACCAACACCGTCGCATTTCACCCCGCCGGGCCCGGAAAGCAATTCGCCTTTAGCCAGAGAATAAAGACGGTAAGGTTACCACCTATGGGCCCCGTCGGGTCAGAGCTGCCCCCATAATATGGGGGCATAATTACGTAAGTGCTGCGGTAAAAATTCCACAAGAGGTAAAAATATTGCGAAAATTTAGCCCGCCTGGAAAGGTTATTTACTTCTAAAACCTTTTGGGAAATTTCTAAAAATAATAATAAATATATAAATCTACTCGCCGTGAGAAAATCTAGAAATGAACTGAGTATTACTCCGACACGTTAGCAGTCGGAATTGCTCGTGCGATTGTAGAGGCCGCTTTATCCAAATGAACATCTTGAATTTGACTAAGGAGAAATTATTCTCTTTGGACTCACAACTACGGGTGTTAATATTGGATCCGATTTGAACTTGACCCAAAAATTTCGGGTTTAGGTTGACCCGAACCTGAAACGGGTCGGGTTCGGGTTCAACAATTCAACCCGTTTCAAAAATCGGATCGGGTTCGGGTTGACACGTTGATCCAAAATTGACCCGAAATGACCCGTTTTGACCCGAAAACCCGTTTCTGACCCGAAAACCCGAGATTGACCGAAAAAGCGGTGTTTGACCCGATTTTGGACACAAAAACTAGTAGTTTTTTGTTTGACTCGGGTCATTCGGGTCGGGTCGGGTTGACCCGGACACGAAGCGGGTTGGGTTTGAGTCCGGAAATCCGACCGTTTGCATAAACAGGTCGGGTTCGGGTTGACCCGAATGGTGCCGGGTCAGTTTCGGGTTCGACCCGAACCCGACCCGTGACCCGAAATTGACACCCCTACTCACAACGTAGTTTAGACATCAATTATAATGTCCGGTCAGTTTCGGGTTCGACCCAAACCCGACCTGTGACCCGAAATTGACACCCCTACTCACAACGTAGTTTAGACATCAATAAGAATGTGTCATGTCATCTCCTACTCGGTATCCGACTCGGTACTGCTCAGTTCCACCCTCGATACCAGGCTTGATACTATTGACATGACGCATTCTAATTGATCTCTGATGAAAAATTGCATTTGACGTCCACATAAGGGCCTATGAAGCGTAATAGATTAGTATGAATTTACTAAAAAGCCAAAGGGTCCCACATGCTAATATAGCATTAAGTTGTTTTGCACAATCAAGCTATAAAACATCTTATCTATATAAATAATTAGTCTAATTGTGGTTGAAAATTGTACTTTAAAAATATTCTTAATATTAATGAACTTTTTAGTGTTGATTTTAGCAATCAGCTGCCTAAGAATTAAATAAGCTATTTTACAATATTATTATTCAAATTAGTGTTACATGAAAGGGAGCATGGCAAGTAGAACCAATGCTTTGAAAACCGGACCGGACCGGCCGGTCCGACCCTAGAATAGTATATATTTAATATATATTTTATATATTTAGAATATGATTGGTTTAACATTCTGCTTGCTTTGCTTTTCAAACAATAATCACAATTATGTATTTTTTCCAAAACAACTTTACAATTAACTTTAAAAATGTTACAGTTCTCCCCAATATACTCTTAATTCTTTTAAATTTCACAAAACTTTTGCATAATCTTCTACATTTTTTTATTTTTTTATTTTGGGAAGATTTGAGGCATTTTGCTCGTATATTGATCAAAAGATGATTACAAGAATACATCAAATTTACAACTCTATGATATACAAGTAAGTAAAGAGCTGTAAAAACAAAAATCACATAAACCAAAAAGTTGCAAAATTTTCTAAAATTCAAAAACTCAATTTAGATTTTTCTACAATTATATAAATATAAATTCAATTAAAAGTTTGGCTTTTCAAATCACAATCGCAATTCCATTTAGATACTGCTTTCTCGTTAGAAATTTAGCGGTGAGAAAAGCTGCATTTTTAAACCAAGTTTGCCAAGGGCAGAATAATGTACTGTAGAGCAAGGCAATTAAATTATTTTTGTACACTTATATATATATATTTATTTTTTTTATAATTTGACATTTGCCCCTTTGAGAACTAAGGTTGGTTCCGCCCGTGAAATTTGCTAATGTGTGGTAATTTTAAGAAAATAACTATTATTTTTTTAAAGAATATATTTATACCATCCATAATAGCTATAAAAAAGTTACTTTTCCCATAGCAGCTGCACAATTATTTTTATAAAAATGCTACAACCATCCCAAACATATTCTAAAAATGGCATCTTTTTCTTCCGTCTTATTTGAAATCTTAATTCCTTCTTTAATTAAATCTCATCATGATAATTACATCACAACACACAATCATACTCAACTAATTAAAATGCATAACCATCATAATTAACATTTTTATTAATACCAAAAGGTTAACCTAATCAAAGTTATTTAATTACAATAATGAGGATTATAACCACCATCATTTCTTATGCATATTATTATCATTATTAATTTAATAATCAACTAATTAGACCTATACATGGTTGGGAAAAATAATAATAATTATAATAACTAACAACAGCTGTTCCCACGAAATCAGGTCGATGTGATCAGTATTCTAAGCCAGTTAGTCTTATCATAAAGCAAATTTGGCTATCATCTGATAAGTCATTTTGGTTTGTTGGTTGAGAGCTTTAGGTATCATCTGCGAGATCTTGGATTGGTGACTTGCGTATGTGATGTATATGTGAGTTTGCTTTAATGGGCCTAAATGTCCTTAAAAAAATAGAAAATTTGGCGTATCTTCTTCTTTTGTAGGCCAATAGACCATGAAAAAAAGGCTTAAAGAATAAAATAAAAAAAAAACAATTATAAGTGCCGATATGTGCTGAATCCTACAAGGATTTATGGAAGTTGAAAAAAATAAAAAATATCCTTTTATGACACTTTTTTATATATGTTTTGGGGCACATTTATGTATTTTTAGTATCTTATGAGTGCGTGCGTGTGTTGTTTTTATTTTTTTATTTTTTATTTTTTGAGATATGCTTAATCTTGACTTCTTATATAGATTATAAAGAATTATAATATCATTAATTTTAGTAGTATTATTATTATTTTATAGTTTTTAAGTGATAAATTTATATATAAGGAGCCATTTGGTTGGATGAAAAAAAAAAAAAAAAACTTAAAGAGAAGATTAAATTAAAGTGTAAAATACGATGTAGTGTATTTAAAAAGTTCAAAAGTTGTTTGGATGAGTGTAACATAAAGTCAAGTGATATTTTTTTTATAGCTTGAAGTATAGTGAATGTACTGTAAAGCCAAATAATTGTGGTGGTCGGTGGCCAGTGCTGACGACGTCAACCAACACTGGCGGTGGCAACAATGACCTAGGGAGGCAATGACAAAATTTACTAGTGGTGATCGCGCCAAAAATAAACAACGATGGGCAACGACGGCTTATAGTATATTTAAAAATCGGACAAATATAATAATCTCTAAATACATCGAAATTGAATAATAAGATTTCGTTTGGGATGACTTTTTTATTGCTTCTTAAATCAGAAAGAAAATCGTCCCAAACGAAGCCTAAGTTACAAAGATTTCACACTTAGTTTATGATGATGCTTTGATTGCACGCCATTTGTTGAATAAAATAATGCATATTAGTTTGAACACAAAGCTGTCTGATATAAGGCTATAGCGACATTTATGGAAATTAAAAGGCAAGCTTCATAACT